TATCTAGGGCATGCAGTCTTAAGCCATCTAAATTTGAGGTGTAAGTAGCTTTGAGGTGGGGCAGGGTGCTTGGTTTTCAGGGTGGGGGGGGTTATTAAAGGGATGTGCATGATGCCAGACCGAAACGCGACAGTCTCATCGGTTAAACTCCTCCCTGATGCAGGAAGGCTGATCTTCTCCATAGAAAGGGGAACCATATCGATTTTCTATTAGGTAATAATTTCATGCAAATTGATGAGTTCTTGTTTAATAAACGGTGGCGACATTTGGGAACAATCCTGGAAGAAGTCAATATGACCTCCTCACCCGCCCCAGCACACCAAGTCCATGAGCTGGTCCTCTGCATCACTGATGCTGGTTATAATGCAGAGCAGCTGTACATTGGTACAGGAAACACAGGCTTTCAGGTCATAGAGAGATGATATATCTGCACAGGGCAGGGAAATTCGTGCAGTGTGGAAACCTTCCTCGATGATAGATAAATAGACAGATAGATAGATTCCGAGGGAAATTGCAGGTCTACACACATGTAGACGGTTAGAAGACAGTACTAAATAATTACAAACCGCAAAAGTGACATCAGGGAATTTTTCGCATGGAGTTCCATGGTAAATACACTGAAAACCATAGTATTGCTTGGTGGGTTGTACAGTGAATATGCGTATGTTCTGTTAATGTGACATGTGCCTAAACAGTTCTGACCCATTCAGTGCTTATCATGTCATGCTTCGTTGAATAAAGCGGAAGGGTCTCCAGGCCGGCATGACGCTCCCTCTGCAGTGAGCCCGATCACCTTAGGACGCTTAATCCTATAGGGAGGCTGGAAATGGGATCTAATTCAGTGCTTCATCTACAGTAAGTGAAAGAAGAAAAAGAGAAAGTAATTAAAGCTCATGTCCCGCCGGTTCCGCGTACCCGGAGGGTAGCCAGCGACAGCGGTCGTAAAACAGCAGCACTGCAGCGCTGGGGGGCTGGCGGAGGCTCCACATAAGCGTGCTCAGTCTGGTCAGCTGACCTGAAGGAGCTCACATGATGCCCCCCCTGTGGCCCGGGAAGGCTATGATGTAATGAGCATCCTAGATGGGTCCATTCAAACACTGCCAAAGCCCCAAAGACTAACCCCCCCATCAGAATTTTAACCCCCCCCCCGCCTTCGGCCACGTGTCCCATGATTTCATGCCTGCACGTCCTGCATGTTTTAGCGGCGGCCGTCATCTATCTGCCCATGTCTGCGTCCGACTGTCAGGCTGCATGCTCTGGGTCTCTCGGGGGGGGCAACCTTCGGCCGTGTTTATAGGTGCAGATTGTGTTATTCACTTCTCATTGCATGTTATGCTTATAAATAATGCAAACTGCTATTTCAACCTGGCCCATCACTCACCATTACCCCCTCCCCCACACATGCAGACGGGCAGTCAAATTCGGAAAGGGCATCTCACCCCCCCAAGGGCGCCTTGCGGCTCACTTACGCTCATGCCCTTCCCCATTCGCCCTGCCTCATCCCGCCAGCATCCATTCTCCAAAGTCTAGCTTCATTTGCCGTCCCAAGCATTTTCCTCAACCGAGGGGTGGGGGCATTGGCTGGAGTGGTGACAGTGCAGCCAGACCACGAGGAAAAGCTTGTCACACCCACAGGGGTCACTCTGTCCCCCTGGCAGGAATGGCATGGCCTTATACCATCAGAGCGTATTCATAGGTAAGATCTGCCAAAAGAAGCCTGGTGTGCTGATTTACAGGATGGGTGTTAGGATGCACTGCAAACCCCCCCCACCACCACCACCACCACACAGCCCCAATCCACAGCAGGCCTCAGCTCTGTGTTTTTCCAATAAATGTATTATCTTTGGTTTCTGGAATCAGCGAATAAGCTCCTGATGATAATTAGTGTATCCCTACTAAGGCTTCCCATGTCACCAGGCCTCTGAACGTTTACTAATTTATGTCCGAAGTTGTAGGCAGTTGATCAAACGTTGCATGACAAAGAGGGACCTGCCGGCACATGTGGGACCGGATCGCGTCCCATCTGGCCGCTGAATTATTCAGATAGTGCCGACATATAGGCCACTGCACCAGGCCTGGTGACAGCGTGCTTTCGGCAGGGGACAGCACAGCGCTCGCATGTAGCAGGACCAACAGGACGGGCAGATAATCGGGGAAGTGGGATCGCGGAGTGCTTCTTCTTTAAAGCGGACCGCGGAAATGTAAGCTCATCTCTTTTTCTCTGTCGTTAAGTCTTTAACGTTCAGCTCAGGGACATTAAATCCTGTAAGTAACGTTCTGCCTGGCACTGGATTTCAGCCCCCCCCGTATTGGATCGTCCAGGAGGCCTAGTTTGAGCAGAACCATAAGGCAGAAGCTTCTCCATCCTCTCTGTCTGTACATGGCTTTGTCATTCTCTCTTCCACCTAAAGATCTTTGGTTATGGTCTCCAAAGCGACGGTTGTGTAGCAACTGTAAGCGATGAACTCAGAGAGGAGCATCTGTATACGAGCGCAGAGGTCTGCTTCAGTATTAGATTTTTTGTTCAGTCATGTTTGTCGTTGATAATGATAGTGTCAATAAACAATGACAGGGACTGTCCAGAGCTTATCTACCTGCCTGTTGGGTTTGCCGTTGACGATCAACAGCCTCCTTCTGCTTAACTCTCCTGAAGGAAGCCACAGTAGAGCTTACCTTGCGGAATATTCCAGACAGTGAAGTAAATCCTGTTAGTACAGTTTAAGATGGGGAAGGGGGAAGGAGCTAATGAGGCCGTTGCAGGTTGTATCAGATGGTGAAGAGTTTGTGTTTTATAAAGCACCATAGTCCCCTTTGCTGTGTTCACCGTGGGCAACTTTGACAAGTCCAGGTTCCGCTCGGTGAATTCACACATCCTAATTGATGCTCTAGTGGCGTTCCGGGTGATGATTCTGGTTCATCTCAGAAACTCGCGCCATCCAGGCACGCAGAATATGGGAAAAAGTGGTTGTGGTACTGAGAGGTGTGTCCGGTCAGCCACGGTAACTACGACTCCGACCAACGGCTACGCAACGCTAAAGTTGTCATGGCAATGAGACAAGACATCCGAATCGGACATTGAGGTTTGAATTTGTCTCTCCGTTGGGTCAGTCGCCTAAGGAACATCTCCGGAAGCCCAATTGATGTGTCGGCTCTGTTTGGAAAGGCTGTCAACACCGGAGGGTCCAGTTTCACCACATTTTAGGTGGTTCTGTAGTTCCGCAGCGCACACACACACAGACTGAGGCGTGCTGTATTCATATTCCATTTCTTTGCACTAACAGGTTCTCGTATTAAAAAGAGATTTGAAGGACTAAGAATGCCAGGATTGACAGCGGGTGTTCCCTGTATGTTTCCCACATCGATGCCTTCACAGCCGCGCTCCTGCATTAGTCATCCTGCAGCCTTCGTACACCTTTCACACGGGGCAAAGGTGCCATCCAGCTACTCCAGGCCATGTCATACAAATCACTGAGTGGCAGGACAAGGAAATCGGGCCTGATTGAATGACCAGGTGCCACCAGGTTAAGCCACCGGGACAGAGTGCTTTGGCAGGAGAATCTGATTCATCAGATTACCCAAAGAGAAGCTTAGACGCTTGCTGGGACTGTGTAGTTCCTGGGCAGAATTCCAGCACCCAGAAATCTAGGTGTTTCTATGTTGGATTATTGTTACTGATTGTATTTTTAACTGCTGAATGTTAGCATTGTTATTACATATTACTTTGTCTATTAAATGGCACGTTTACAAGAAGCCTGTCATGTTTCCCAGCTATTCACAGTGGGATACTTTAAAATGAGCAGAGCACACCCCGGGGCATGAACCAAAAACTGTCTGGTGAATAAGGCCGTGCCCTCAGCTGCCTACCGCCCATCTTCCATCATGTCCACATCTGCTCTGGGGTCAGGGGTGGGTGTGTTGTTTTGGGGTTAAGAGAGGTCGATGGAATCTGGGGCTCGTGACTGGGCCCCCGCCAATGAGAGGATGGAAAACTTGATTTTTCACGTTCTTCCATGTTTGCTGTACATTTCTGAGCTGGATAAGGTCACGGTTACCCCGGCACTGGCTGGGGGTGAGTTATTCCCTGAAGCTGTCCCATGTGTACATTCATTTCTCATTAAAATAACCAAGCGTTAGAATCAACTGGAATGGTGATCCCCCGCCTTTTCGGATGCCACCATAACCTGAAGCAGATTGATTGCTGTGTTCCTGCCAGGCAGAGGGACGGTGAACAGAGCCCAGGGCGAAATCAGACACCTGATGGCTGAACAGACAGCCGCCATGGCGACAGCTGACATGGCAACTGCCGCGACAGCCTCACGGGTGCCCTATCCTTCTGCCTTCCAGCGGGGTCTCCTGTTACGGTAGCGGGAGGGTCCTGTGACTCCAGCTCATGAATATTTAATAAGCTCCAGGGACCTGTTAACCCAGCCCCTTTCCCATCAGGAGTCACTGGATCTGTCGGGGGCCAGATACCACTCCCAGTTTCTCGCAAAGAGTCATCTAGAGTAATCTAAGTCCTGCGGAGTGGGAGCAGGAGTGAGCATTTCGGCTCCCTAAGAGATCACATGGGTCGGACATGATTACAACTACACATTCAGACCTTCTTCTGACCCTGACTCTCCCACATAAGCACTTGTCGGTTGAGATGCTGAAAAATCTCCTTTAATTTTCTTCCAAATCAATGCATCTTTGATGCCTCTGAAGCTAAATGTTTCAATACAGGCCATTGGCTGTACGTGTGAGTCAACCTGGACGTCTGGCTGGTTGAAAACCATGCTTGGGCATATACTGAAATTGACCTAGTTTTAGTCACATGTCATTAGATATGAGTTATATTACAAACCTGGGGGCAAACAGCTTCATTTCAGTGCATTCCGTCTTTGCTAATTCTCTGCAGGTTGAAGAGTACTGTTTCTGAGTATTGGCTGGTCGTGGAGGTTCTTCTGGACAGGAGTAGTGGGATGCACACTCGCCCTCAGCTCTCCACCTTCTCTCCACAGTGTCCCCAGAGGCCCTGGGCTTCCTCACCGCCATAGCCGTCTTCATCTTATTGATGGCTCTCCTCTTTTTATACCTCAACAACAAGCTGTCTTTAGAGACCCGGGGGAGCCTGTCCTGCCTGGACGACTACAGGAAAAACAAGGATTTGCAAGGTAAAAATATATATGTGTGTGTGTGTGTTTCTGTCTGCCACCCTAAGACCCCCCCCACCACATTCATGGACCATCCTCGATCTCAACAACAAGGACTGAAGCACCTGCCACAGCAGGGATGTGTCTTACACACACACACCAAGATTAGGTCAGCAAAACCCAGGCAGTGCTGGGGAAACAGTGCTGCTGTCACACATGCCTGGTTCCAATTAGGATGGTGCTATAAGGCTGCGTGTGTGTGTTTGCGGGGACCAAGGTGGGGGGTGCGGTGCCGAAAGTTTGTCAGAGATGCTAATCACTGTCAGAACTGCTGCTACTTAGGACTCGAAAGAGAATCTTGTGGTGTCATCACGCAGACAGCATTACTTATGGGGGGCTTCAGTCAGCTTCGGAAAGATGGAGGCGAACAAAAGAGATAAAAATAGCATTTGTGGGCCTCGCAGCACAGAGTGTGTCTTGCAGTTCGGTAAGTGCAGTGCAGGCTGACAGCTTTCTGACCAACCTCCCCTTATCTGTTTCCATTAGAAAGATGGACAGGGCCTCTCAGATAGTTATTCTGCTAATTGTAACAATTTCCAGAATGTGTGTAGGACCTCAAGAGCATCACAGATGTTACCTTTGTGTAGCTCTTCCTTCATGAAGCCTGTTGTGTTGGGTGAGCGATTGGTGGGGTTCAGCCACCTTGACATAGATATGTCCGTGTCAGGCTGTGAGATCAGCAGCATCTCCAGGAAGATAAAAACTCAGACGCTTGAGATGCCAGGATTGGACAGTTTCTGGTTATCATGGTCAGATTCTGGTCCATGGTATCATTTACTATTTCATTAAACGCCCACTGGGATTTCAAGGGAAATTTTAGATTAAAAGAGGTTGGAGATATTGGCATGAGGTATGAGGAACATGATATTCAGCCTCCAAAACCTTCTAGGCAGACACACGGGTCTAAAGACTAGAACTTGGCATGTGGTTGACAGTGGAGGATTATCTGTTCGGCCTGAACAATGCCCCAGCAGCACGTAGCTGTGCATGCTAATAAGCGATCGCATTTCAAATAGAAAGCAGGTGGCAGTCATCACTCAGGACTTAGTCTGACATGCTCCAGGACACACGGTCCACCCACCGGGCTCCTACATCTCTTTTCCTCTCCCTTTATTCAGGGCTGTGTGAATAACTCAGACAGGTATCAGCTTTTCTGTGCCTTCAAATCAGACACGCGTTCCCTGACAGCAAAGCCACCAGTGTGAAAGCTGAGCAGCCCCCCCTCCTCGTTGTTTATCCGTGCATGGGCGGGGGATGTGGTTTAGTGTCTTTATGGGAGGGTGATGGCTCTAACCTGGGACGGGGGGGGGAGTGGGGGGGCATTACTGACTAACAAAAAAAAAAAATATGCGTTGCCTTGCAGAAGCGTTTCAGCGACACAAAGATATTCACAGCAAAAGAAGAACCAAGAAGAGCAGACGGGATCTTTGAGGCTTTGAATCAAGTCCCTTAAAGCCCAAACTGTTTACCGTCATCACCAGGGCAGATATCTGTCAATAAAGCAGAAAAGCAGAGGAGTAGCAGCTGACGTTCGGCACCTTGCTCCTGTGATGCTCTTATACTACTCCCCAGCTTTGTGCCTCCTCCCGCCTCTCTAGTCAGTCTTGTACAGAATTCTCTGTTAAAAGCTAGTAAGAACATGGCAACCGGGGCTGAGAAGAGCTTGAAAACTTGCATCCACCCCCAGAAGCACAGCCATCATACCCCCATAACTACAACTGATAGAGAAAAAAATGTCATCACTGCATAATTAGATCACATTTTGAGTTGAGCATTGATTTCTCGGGCTGCGGCGCGCTCCAGTCTCGTTAGTGATACGTTAGTGATAGTGATATTGCACCCAGAAAAGCCGCAGGACGGCCTGGAGGGCTTCAAAAGGCCGTCATGGCATTCTTCAAGAGTTTCCAGCAGAGCATGTCATCCGTCTCCTCCATCCTGGATTCAGTCACCAACGTCGTGGACGACCTGGCCTTTGCTGTGGGCGATGTCACCTACACGGTTAGCGACCAGCTGGCCGGGCAGGTCTCTACAATCATCCAGCGGGTCCAAGCGGAGGAGCTAGAGAGACAGTGCAAGATGGAGACCAACGAAAAGGCCGCACGCGACCTGGAGATGGCCCAGGCAAGGGGCTCAGATGTAGCTAAGCATAATGGCCAGTGCCAGAAGCCTGGGATCGAGAGCACAGAGGTGTGTACAGGGGCTCACAAGGGGGTGCAAAATGGTACCAAAGGAGAAGGGAGGAGTGATGCGTGTTTCAGGGAGGACAGGTCAAAGTCCACTCCCACCATCAAGTACACAGAACGAAACGGTAGAGGGTTTGTCTCAGAGGGTTCACCCGGTAGAGGGGAGACTAGGGACACCATGGAGGGTCAAATCAAGGACTTGGTTCACCAGTCAAAAACTTACAGAGCTGACAAGGTCCACAGCGGTAGGAGGTCAAAGAGACATAGCCGGTCATCTATACAGCGAAGGGGCGATGGCGCCAGGAATGAAAGGAACGGCTCAAGAGAGGGTCAAGGTGAGAAGTGAAGGCGCTGCAGGGCGCCCCCTTCTGTCCTGTTCCTCTGTCCTCTGGTTCCTCTCCTCGCCTGCCTTTCCTGCTTTGGACACAGCTCTTCTTCCAACACATATGACTTTTTCCTTCTGGACCTTTTCAATTTTTGCTCACATCCTATTTTCTCTCATAAAGGCATGGATCGCCGAGGTATGACAGGTGCACATTTTTCTTGAATAGTTTTGGCCCAGATGTCACCTGACCAGTTTTGTTTACTTTCAAAATGATTAGACTGCATACATCAAAAGTAGTGATGGGAAGTTCGGCTCAATTAACTGATTCGATTCTTTTGAACTGTCCGTTGTAATGAATCGATTCTAAAACCGATTCTGATTCACTTTTTTTCGTCTTTCTTTTGCGCCTGACCATATGACTCAATGAATCATGGGATCGGATAATAAATCTGTCTCAAGGTTACGTTATTTGACTGAAAGATAGCGCTGGTGTTCAACAAAAATGTTCAGCAAAAAAAAAAACAATATAGAAAAAGCAGAAAGGGTATCGATGCTGAACAAACACAGGTGTATATATAGTTATTTTCTTTACTTAAGCCAAATTCATGCGCATAAGTATCAAGGACTACATCACAGTTAACAACTGCAATATTACCAATACAATCACACATACACGTACAATGAGCATAAGTAAACTTGCATACGTTGTTGTGTAAACGTCATAGTTAATAAATATCTTAGTTTGTTCTTTTCTGAAAGACATATAGTTTTATTATACAGAAATGCAATAATTTACTGTTGTGATAAATGATGAAGAGCTGCGTTTATTTTATTCCTTTTAACAGCGTAACTGCATTTCCGCAGTAAACGCTGCGAGGGCTCTTGGGGTCAGTTCGCGAACCGTTAGTTTTAGTCACCAACCGAGTGTCCTAAAACCCGTAAGTTCGATTCGTTCATCGAATGGGCTGTCCGTTTTTTTGGAGTCAGCGAGTTAGAGACCAACAGGTACTCTGCCGTTTGGGTGTTCTCGGCACCAGACGGAAGTGTACAAACGCAAAAGTGACGAATGTAACTGACGAACATAAGAATAAACCTAAAAGTGATGACAAGCGCAGACGGAATAAATAATAAATAAATCCAAAATCGCGGGGGATGCTTTTGGATGTTGAATAGCCAAATATTAGTTTCAAGAAGAATTCATTCAGACTTACGAATCGGTTCAACTCGTATACTAAAAAAAACGAGTTAAAAAGAACGATTCGTTCTCGAATCGGTCATCACTAATCGAAAGAGAACACTGGTGAAGAGATTCTGGTTTAAAATGCCTGAAAATCATAAAAGACTAAACACATTAATTGTAAAAACTGTTACACACAGTATAAAACCAGCCATTCACTTTGAATTGACTAATATTCTTCAGTTTGATGTTTAGCAGGTGATGAATGAAGAGTGCAAACCGATGTTTAATTTCAGCTATGGCAGCCATGGTCTACCTGAACAAAACAGCAACAAAAACGTGTCACAGAAATGTCATCTCTTTCTTAAAAAATACCCAGAAAACAATTACAAATCTGTTCAGGGGGAGGAATCTGCAGAAACACCTCCCACATGGAGGATGAAGGTGTTGGGTTTGGTTCTGGGGGCGGATGCTGGCCGTTGAGGGGCTCTCTAGATACAGGGGAGCCCCACTGAGCTCTCCGGAACGTTCCCTGCTGAGCTACGGAGCGGAGTGCTTTTAGTGGCCAGGCTTGGTGCCATCAGACCTGTTGCCGGGGGCTTGAGACAGCGAGGACCACGTTGTTCCTCACCACAGTGTGTCTTTATGGACAAGTATCGATGTAATGCTGAAGGAACTGGACTCGTGAACAAGGTGCACCAGGGGTTGATCTGTAGGCAATAATTTACTTGGACATGAATGTGACTTGACATTTCCATTTATCCCTATGGTCTGCCCTCGAGGAGACTGCAAGGTGTTCAGATAGACTCAGGGTACATCTGCTGCTGAGTCTTCTCATAAATGGTTTCTGTGACAGAGACTGAGCAGCCAGCACTGAGGCACTTCAGACCCGGCTATTTAGCCACCGACTGTCACACTCTGCTCCCATCCCGCCTCAGCTGCTCTGAAGATTGTATGTTTGCTTCCATCTAGTGGTGTGTAGTTTTAACTGCGCAATTCGTCACAGTAAGCAGTTCAGATTTGTTATGTGGGATGCAAAGTATTTGTCCATTAATAGAGAACATCTTTAATGAACCAATCACGCTCACAGGTGTTTTACGATCCTTGTTCAAAGATGTAGTTTTCAGTTTGAATCTTCGCTTACAGGGCTTATAATGTTTTTCTGCTCATACATACATTGTATTTCAGAAGACTATCCTTCCCATTTAATCAGCTCGTTCAGCCCGTTATTGATGTCTGCTGCCTCTTTGTTTGCCCCTCTGATATCATCCCATTGACATCTTTGCATCACTGTATTGTATCCCTGTGAGCAAAGTCACGGCTGAAGGTGGCCGGCCTTCCGCACTGGGCCCTGACGCCATTTCCCTGCCCCTCATCCGCAGATAAGAGCTATCCCGATGTGGATCCTCGGGGCTCATCCTCAGAGAGCGAGGATGAGATCTTGGGGAAGTACCAGGAGGCCGTATCGCGCTCACAGGGCATGAGGGCAGCTGACACCCGCAACCCGAAGGGCTATGGCTGGGAGACCAGGCAGAAATACAGCCCCCTTTCGGCAGAGTACGATGGGTACAGCAGTGAAGCCTCCACCGAAGAGGGTAGGTGTCTCTGTCATGCTGCTTGCTGAATCATCTCGAAAAATACACCCTAACTGGATACAGGATAACAAATTAAGGTGGGAATGATTTTATGTGCTCCAAACTCCCCCTGGTGGTCATATTGGTTTCTGCAGGTTTTTTTTCTTTCATGATCTTTGTCCTACAAGCAAATGTATTGAAGCCCGTTTCCGCCAGCGTGGAAAAGAAAAAAAACTAGAATTTAAGTGAAATAACGACTTAGTTATCTCTAAATAATCACAAAAAAGGTGCAGGTGTTACTTGTTAGGGTCACGCTAGGGAGGAGACATGGAGGGTCAGGTGGACATGAGGGGATGTGACAGTACCTACATTTAAATTCTACTATACATTGAAATTTTTTACTTTGTTGTTTCAAATGAGATCAACCTCGTATCCTGGTCAGGATAACAGGGGGCCTGGAGACCATGGAGCACAGTGATGGGGTTCAGGCTGCACACACGCACACTAAGGACAGCAGTCTACCCCGGGCCAGACCGTCCTGCATACCGGGCATTTTCCCAGCAAGCCCATGGGTTTGTGGGCAGGCAAAAAAATTCTTAGGGAACGAATTTTGCCCCCCCCCCACTCCCGGTCAGCAAAATTCACTGTGGTGCCCTGGGGGACCCCAACGTCTAGGGCTAGATGTAGTCCCAGTCCGGTGCTGAGCCTGCCTGCATGTCTCTGAATTGCCGGAGAAAAGCCCCAGCCTCAGCAGAACCCCCCGCCCCAGGGGTGCCGTACGCTGGCTGACCCGTGGCTGTGCCCCCCAAGCTATGGAGAGCTAGATGGGGTCAGCGAAAAGAAGAAAGAATTCCTACCTGCCTGCACTTGTGCAAATGGCAAATAAAGGGTTCATCATTCTCATTATTACAGATGCACCAGTTGCAATTTTCTTGGCCGATTCCGATTTTCTTTCTAAAAATTGACAGCATGTACAAAAAAAACTTTTCTTCAATGCAAAATTGTATTTTCAAAATAAAAGAAATCGTTAAACTTTACAATTTCCCCTAAACTGCACTAAGTTACGAGATCTTCTCTCACTTAACTCTGTGACTGGAAAGAGGTACAAATAACTAACTGAAAATGAGCTGCTGTACACCCATCTTTACTTTACCAAACAGTAGCAGGTGAAAAAGATTTAATTAACAAAACAAATGTCATTTACTTGTGTCATTTTCCAGTTTGTTTAAATTCGCCAGATAACACGACATTGACCCTTTTCTCATTTGTACTCGTCTTAAAAAGTCCAGAGGTTACAAACCTCCAAATAAAACTTAAGTGTACCATATACTCTTCCAAATAATAATAGGTACAGGGTAATATTATTAATACAAACATCGCATGTTGTGCGCATACACTTCTTAATCTCTTGTAAAGTAGATTAAAATCAGGCTTTTTCGTACCTGCATACTGGCCGGACGCTATGGCGCAGGTGGTAAGGTTTCGCTAAGACCTCATAGGAAAAATCCTCATCTAGCTTTGCAATTTCAATGATTATTCCTTTTCAAGATTATCCAATACACGCTTAATAATCAGTTTAAAGTTCACCTCAGATGTTTCACTACATTTTGGTTCCCGCACGGTTTACTTTGGCTTTACATGCATTACAAACCGCAGACCTCACTCGCCGTGAGCGTGCAAGCAGCTGTGCGTGTGACGTGTGGCGCATGCGTGAAACGGACCGGTTTGGCATCGAAAATACATGACACTGACCAGCCTAATCGTAACCAAAAGCAGCGAACCCAACGCAGAGCTACACAGGACAACATGGGAACTCCTCACATACAGAGCGAGGGCGAGATTTCAACCAACTCTGGGGGTGTGAGGCCACCACTATGTGATAACATTTGTTTTAAGAACTCTAAAAAAGATTATGTTAATACTGATTAATGAACTTCCTGACATATGAAAATTAGGTCAAATTTTACTAAATTCATCAACATGCCAGGCGTATGCAACACAGGAGCAGTGTGGCTCTGCGGGCGAAGCCTCTGCACCTCTCATCGGAAGGCTGCCGGTTTGAGTCCTGGCCTTAGCAGAATAGTCACATATCCAGGGGCACCAGGGCGGGGCTCGTAACCCCCAGCTCCTGGGGCGCCACCCGCTGGCTGACCCTGCTCTGTGACCTCCAGCCTTCACTCTCACCTGTATATGTGTCTGTGTGTCTCATGTAGAGATGGGGTAGGTGAAGGGGGGGGGGGTTTAATGAAATATCGCTTCTATTCTACGGAGTGAGTTGTAGGAGATCTTGGCGTGACTATTTTCCATTCTGGCCACCAGGTGGAGCCCTTACTCCTTTTTTACATTCTACATGTCACAGCTTAAGCCTGTAGCTTAAACAGCACATCTGCAGGGAGCAGTGCAGTGCAGCTAGGTGATGGTATTTTACACCACAGCAACCTCTACAATTGTAAGGTTTTGTTCTAAGCTTCTTAAAGGTAAAGATGCAGGAATCACATAGTGCCGATTACATTCGCATACATCTGAAAAGGCAGTGTGATTATTCCTGATTTGATTGTGCCTTCAAGACAGCTTAGAAGACATAAATCCTATTATTTACACCCTGCTCTGCTGTGTTTAAATCACTTGTACAGACCAACTGTCACAAGCACCCTGAACATTTCAGTGTTTTTTATTAAAAAAAAAAACACATTAAATCAAAAACAGGTCCCTAATTTCATCCCTGCCTCTGCCCTGGCTGAAATGTACTGAATGTAACAATCTTTTACTTGCACTTTTGTCTCTTAACATACATCCCAGATTATGGGGTCATGTATTCCTACAACCTTGTGGAGGTGCTGCCCTTGCTGGGGATGGCACATCTGGGCAAGGGGCCCGGCCACCCGCTGTACTTGCCTGAGAACTACCCCTTTGGGGCAGGAGGGGAATAACAGGACAGACATGGCAAACAATGGAGGCTGGGGCAGCACAGACCCCGGAAGCTTCCCGGTTCCGAAGCAGAAACCATGGTCTCCGTAAAGTACCACGAGGTGATCGTTATTTGGGGGGGGGGGTGGCAGCACACCCCTCAGCTGAGATTTGGAGGCTAACTGGAGGCCAGTGTGGGTCTGTTTGGTGACAGATGATCCACATCATGGCACCTTCAGGTCATGTTTCAGCTCTGCCTTCAGCACCCCCTGCAGACCTCATCTGAAAGCCGGAATCTTGTCACTCGGGGGCATGTAGAATTCCTTTGCTGCCAGGTGATTCTGAGGTTTATCGATGTGCCCCCCCCCCCCATTTCTAGGAAGACACTGCCTAACCTTTCCTGTTGGTGGCAAATGTGCCACTTTAGAACAGATAGCATCTGATGTGATCAGACCTGTGATCTAAGTGCTGTAAGTGTGACGTGGCACTGATCTCAGGTCAGGTGAGGCCAGTGTTAATTAGAACGACATGGGGAATTTCAACTGCTTTACAGAACATTGGCCCATAAATTAGACGTGTAAAAGAGTCAGAGCGAAGCTACAGCCTGACTCTGGCTGCTAGCATCCAGCTAAGAGCAGTGGGTGTTTTTACCACCGAAGGCTGTTAATTTCATTATGTATTTCACACTCATCCACAGCAGCATAGAAACACATATTTATGAAGAACATGTGTCCCATTTTTTCCACACACCCAAGCCAATGCTATAAAATTCAGAATAAGTTCACAGTTAAAAGTATATACAAGTAACTAATTTTACGGATGCATGTTATCATGATTTCCACAGGACATTTAGGCATATTTTAAGTAACATATTAAAAAATAGTCGTGTGCTAATTAGTGGAGGGAATTACACAGAACCAGAAATGTCTGCTTACAATTACAACTAGTTCTCAGGAAAATACCAGGAGCAGGTGTGGCTCATCAGAAGCCAGGTAGGATAGGAAACCGGAGTTGGAGACCCCTGATTTAAAGAGAGAGACTGTTCAGATTTGCACGGGGATACTAAAGTAGGAAGCTGCATGCAAGGTGCTTTGGAAGCACAGGGATGGACAGACTGGTTTGTGACGTTCCTCAGTTTTGACCTCTTCCTTCCTGTAGCTGCCTGTGGTTTCAGGGCCGGCCCAGTGATGGAGCTGACTTTGTTCAGGTGTTTGGCATTGCCTGAACTGGTTTCCACTTTGGACTGGCGAAACACCCCCCCCATAAACTGGGGTCTGCTCTGGTCACTGTGTTGCCACCCAGTGTTCAGGTGGACACCCAGGAACCTGTGGCACTGCACCACCTCCGCTGGCTGCCCCCCCCTTTCCAGGATGGGGACTGGTCTTTTGAGCTCCTCGGCACTCCAGAAATCCGCCCCCAGCTCTTTGCCTTGCTGAAGTTGAGCGGCAGAATTGTGACTAAATAATGGGTGACTGCACTCTTCCAGAAACATGTCATTTAATCTGACAGGACAAACTGAACGGTGGCTCACTTAGAAACAGCGTGGGCGCCCCCTGCTGTAGAGAATTATTTGCTTTACATATAATCTTCCAGATGTGTCGAGCACAATGCGTGAAGCTAAGTGCTTCTCATTATTTAAAAAAATGGCTCATTGGCGACTGTCTCCTCGTGATCTCCCAGCATGCACTGCTTCACCGCCGGTGGGCCGCTAACAGGACGGTAGTGGCGGCAGGCCCCGGTGGAGCCGAGCTGGCCATAATCCGGCCTTTGTAAGCGCTGCTCGTGAGTCATAGTGAAGGCAGGCCATCCTTATATAAAGTTCAGCAGAAATGAGTGCCAGTGGAGCCCTAATGGAGGCCAGATGAAGGAGTTGGGGTGAGATCATTCAGACGTGTCCTCTCATGACCAGCGGCGCATTCCTGCGGCGTGTATCTGAGGCAACCGCATCACGGTGACGAATGCCAGAGAACAGCGGCGCATTCCTGCGGCTGTGGGAGCGCTGGCATCTAACCGTGAAATGCGTGCCACAGCCACTAATGCGGGGGGGGGGAGGGGGGGCGTGAAGACCATCCTGTGCCAGGTGCTCCATTGTTCTCTTGGTGGTGGGGGGCGAGGCCATGAAATGGGGGGGGCTAGCTTCTTCGGGCATACTTCCTAACCGCGAAAACGTCAACAGCAACTGTCTGTGTTTTTGCAAGGCTCCACGGCGACGGGATCGTGCAGTACATACAGAGAAAGTGGCGGGGGAGCAGGGGCGACTAAAGGGTCTTTTAAAGAGGGAGGGGGGGGCACAAGAAAGGCCATAATTCATAAAGAGGTGCCAACCTTATCATTAGCCAATGATATGCTTTGAATCGGTGAGTGACAGGGGAGTGTGCATGGGGGCCAATCAGTTTTCAGCTGGCGCCAGTGCTCCTGTGGCTCCGCCCCTGTATACACCCCTGAAGATAAGGATTAAAAAAACCTTAATGAGTCTTCTTATGCAGCTTCCAGGACTCTCGAGGCTATGTACCTATCAGGACAAGACAGGCAGAGACCCTGGGATACCTTCGCTCAGAATCAGGCTTTAGCAATAGGAGCCCTCAGTGCAGAATCCCTCCCTCCGTCCTAGTGTATGAGCCATACCCCTCGCAGCTGCAGGCTGCAATTTCACCCAGCGTATCCACGACAGCCAGAAGGATTGTTACTCATCCTGTTGCTGGAGGAGTGACTCCGATCTGGCATGCACAGATCCCTCAGGAGCCCCCGGGGTGTCACCGCTCACCATACCGTAATGCAACAACCCGCTAGTTTCGGCACACGGTGCCATGCCGGGCCACATCACGCCACCCCCACTCCCAGAAGGCCATGATAAAAACCCAAAGACAAACTTGTTTGGCTAAGTGATGAGGCTGGAAACAGGAGTCAGTGACAGGGACGACATGGTTGTTCCGGGTATGCGAATTCAGCCAAGGCTCAGAAGTGTCACCGTATACCAGCGCCTGCACCTCACTTTGGGGGGGTGATTCTGGGGTTTTTCCACAGTGAACTACATCCAGAGAATGAGGCGCACACCCCCTCTGGACGAGCTGCAACCCCCACCCTACCAGGACGAGGATGGCTCACCACGCATGTCCTGCACGCCTTCCGATGCCGGCGACGCCAAATGCGGCCTGTCCCACTGCAGCGACAGCCCGCGCCACTCGTACGGCAAGTGCCCGAGCGAAACCAGCGCCGGCCACGAGACCGAGAGCTACCTCAACAAGGGCTACGAGGAGGACGTGCCCAGCGACAGCACTGCCGTGCTCAGCCCCGAGGTGAGTACCCCCGTGAGGCTCTCGTAGTGATTTCGCAGACCCTCGAGAAACAGTATCGAGAAACTTGTAATGCTATTTGGGTCAGCACTTGCATACAGGTGAACCCAAGAACGATTAAAAACGGTAGTTTGAGAAAGAGTCATCTGGCCAAGTGCAGTATGTTGTATTGTGGGGGGGGGCGGGGGGAGGGTGCAGAGACTGCCCCCAGTTCCCATGTGAACCTTGGGTGGCTAACGAGGGGACGCTCCCCCTCCTTCGGCACAGCTCCCGACCAGCTCCCCCACCCTGCAGGCCTCCACAAGGCCGCACGGAGTCTTACCGACAAACAGAGGCGACGGTAATGCGCCGCAGGAGAGGCTCAACATCGCGGGAAACCATGGCAACTGCACCAAGAAACAGAGCGTGCTATGGAAACTCAGGGGGACCCTTTTATTTTTGCGGTACATTTGTGGCCTGGACTGCTTTCGTTTTTTTTTTCTTACTCCCCCCCACCCCTCTGAACTGCCACTGACAACCCATTAATCTCCCACTGCCACGCTGGGGCGTGAGGAGCTCAAGATAAGATGGTTATTAAAAAGCCATTTGATCTCGTTCAACCATATGGTCTCGGGTTAGGGGAACGCGGCGAATGCAAGCGCCTCAACTGGAAGCCCGCTCGTGTAGTCCAGGCTCGCACGGGGCAAGAGGGGCTGACAGGAGGGGCCCCGTTCAGCACGAACACGCCGCAGCGAGTTCAACTCATACCAGATGTTTGGAGAGCACTCTGTCATCATGATGGTCCTCCACCCCTTAGCTGCGGGACTGCAGCTGTACACGCGATTCTTCCAGCATTCCTCCATAAAAATGAATTTCTAAGCTCGTTGCGAGCTTATTGAGGGGCAGGAAGCGTGTAGGATGCTCCGCTGTATACAGCTTCTGTGGGCAATCACCATCGATGGAATTGGTGAAGAAGAAACAGGGATGGAGCGGGGGGGGTGGCGCAATGACCCCGGAGTTAATGTCTCTCTCCCGCACTCTGTCAGGAAATGTCAGCCCGGGGCTCAGCGGCACAGCTGCCCAAGGGGTACGAGCCTGAGCCCTTGGCCAAATACGGCACTCTGGACGTGGTGTTCGACTACGACTCGGAGGAGCGCCGGCTCATGGTGACAGTGACTGCTGTGACGGATCTCCCGGCCCTGAAACGCACGGGCAACATCTCCTGGCAGGTCCACCTGCTGCTGCTTCCCACCAAGAAGCAGCGTGCTAAGACAGGAGTGCAGAAGGGGCCCTGCCCGGTCTTCACCGAGACCTTCAAGTTCAACCACATCGAGTCGGAGATGATCGGCAACTACTCCATTCGGTTCCGCCTCTACAGCGTGAGGCGGATGAAGAAAGAGAAGCTGCTGGGGGAGAAGGTGTTCTACCTCACCAAGCTCAACCTGCAGGGCAAGATGCACATTCCCGTCATTCTGGACCCCGGCTGCACCCTTCCAGTGAGTAGGCGGCTGGTAGGAGCCTCGGGGTTTGTGTGCATGGGGGAGGAGTGAAGGTGGGTCACCGAGACCCCTGTCAATGAGTCTCCTTGCCAAAAAATCATTAGCAACAAAAAGCAAGCAAGAGACCAGGGGCCTATATCACGCAGCAGGAGTTTTTGCATTGCCACTTTGCCACTTTCAGATTTAAGGTAGCCTGGGCTAAATGTAAGTGAACGAAGATATAGACCATTTCAACTGAGGTACCTTAAATCTGACAAGTTATCTGGCTCTAAACAAGAAATCCAGCTTTGTGGTACAGGCGCCTGGATGGGGTGCAGGCTGGCCAAGACTTTCCGACCTTCAGCAGGGGAGCACTGCACATCTACAGCCAGACCACAGCACACTTAGGGTTTCATGGAAGATTGAATCCCCTTTCATCAAGAGTCAACTGTCACATCATCATAGTCTAAACCAGGGCTCTTCAAATCTGGACCTCTATTCCAAATCCAGGCCTTGTTTTCAGTCCTCCCAGGCAGTTAGTTTAATGATTACTGATTCTGATTGGTCAGAGGCTTCACACCTGGCTCACAGGTAAAGGAAGGCTGGAAAACCAGCAGTGCTCGGACCTCGAGGGCCGTGATTTGAATAACCCTGGTCTAAACTATAGTCTGAATCGGGTGTAGGCAGCTTAAACCAGAAAAGGCCGTTGTGTATGCATGTTTTCACTGCAACTACCCTAGATTAGTAATTAGAGGACTAAAGAGTTCTGGCACCTGGGTGTGAACAGGTGACCTATGTTTGCTTATGCTGTATTAGTATACTGCTGTGTAAGTGGGGAACTCAGCTTGTGAGGTTAACGTGTCAGAGAAGGGCGAATCGTGGGCACCAGCGATGTCCCGCCTCCCCTCCCGCCTGCCAGCAGGGCTGCGAGTCCCAGGTCAGCATTTCGGAGATGTCCTGCAGCGAGAGCACGTCGTCCTTCCAGTCTTCAGGCCAGGGTTCCAGCCCGGAGATCCTGGTGGGCCTGGTTTACAATGCCACCACGGGCCGGCTCTCAGTGGAGGTCATCAAGGGCAGCCACTTCAAGAACCTGGCAGCCAATAAGCCACCCAGTAAGTATGGAGCTCCAGGCCCCTTTTGGGAGCCACCCTGGACATTGTGACTGAAGGATATTAGTATATTACTGAGTATCTGAAAGGCTTTTGTGACATCGATACGTTTCAGCAACAGCATATATAAGGTTAAAGGTCAAGAGAATAAACCAAAATTTAATTTCTGTATTGACACCGACATTCTAACTTTTAATAGCACAAAAACATCACAGAACTAGGTTATAAAATAAAATATAACAGCATAACGTATATAATCCCAGTCAAATACAGACTGACAGCTTGGTAAAAGACCAACACCACACCACCTGAATTTCAGATGCACGTTTATGCATTTCGAAGGTCATTCAGTAGTAGCTTAATGGCTGAACATACAGGATCAGTCAGCTGATAGCCAGGCATCAGGCGTTGGGAGCAGAGACCAGCTCAGGTCGGCTGCTGCCATTCGTTGCTCCTGTTCTGACTTACAGCAGAATCTCCGGCGGCGATGCACTCTCGTCGACCTTCGCGATGACCTTTGACCCTGCCTCTCTCTCACTCTCCTGTCATGCTGCCTGTGTGCCCTTCACCCAATGATTGACATCTCGGTCGTTCTCTCTCTTACTGCTTCCCAACCCCTGTTGTCAGACGGCCTATTCTGTTGTCTGAAACACCTGATAGGTGGGCAGGTTTATATAATCAGAGGTGAGTCTTTGCCGGCAGGACCAGCAATCCTGCTCATCACCCTTCCCTCTGCCTCTGTCCCCCTATGGACACTCGACTCGCTCTGTCTGTTCCTTGCTTGACTCGCGCTGTCTGTCTGTCTGTCTGTCTGTATCTCGCTATGCTTGATTCATACTAGAGAGCAGCCTCATTTCCTCACGGATGTTGGTTATGCAGATGCCATCAAGCAACGAGAACATCAAAGACAGAGGCTGTATGGACCGTTTACAGCCATCAGAACATACGGCAAACTGGGTGTAGTTTGAAGAGGAAGTAAAATATGCTGGAAGGTCATCAAGCATTTAAGCTACAATAATAGATATTAGCTATAAACACATTGACCTTTTAGCCACTGAGCAGAAAATGAACTATATATAGATTGCATTTCATTTATATATCCATTATTTCTAGGTCATAAAAAATTCAGCCTGGTACGATGCTCTGCATCTACGTTTTCCGTGAAAGACCACATCTGTGACGAGATAGGTTGACTCTGTAGTGCACACATCACCCCATGCTCCAACCCCATCCATCCACTACCTCGCCGCATACCCTGCTCCTGGTTTCCTCCATCCCTCTTTTGATCACTCCATCCACTCCTCCATGGACTGCCGGTGCCTTGCTGCCATGTCTCCCATGTGCTCCATGCTCTGAGGGGACCTTCGCAGTCGGGACTGGGGAGGAAGGGGAGATCTGAGCTTGTAGATACTCACACAGCCTAAACGGTCACCCATTCAACTCAAAAACACCCAATGTGTACATCTGCTCAAAAAGGTACAGCAATAAAATAAATGAACAGCAGCATAGCTCAGGGCCATGGTGAAGGTTGTTTTACAGTACTCTGCATGACAGGAAGCTGCAGGAGGTCCTCTGGTTACAGCCCTGTCCCAGTAACCGCAGTATTCAGCGCTGATGCTGCTGCTGACGCGCAGGAAGCATAGCCTGTCTTCAGTAAGATGTTACCAAGTTTTAGGAGAGAGGGTGGGGGTGAAATCCCCTGGGTTCCATCACGGCAAAAAAACGAGAGCTGCAGCAAGGGCCACTAGCAGCGGGGGTTTGCGATTCCAACAGGCCGTGCAGATTCTTTTTGGAAAGTACCGTCTAGCATCACAAAATGCCTGTCTGTCACGGGGTTTGTCCAGCTGCAGTCGCAGGGAGCACTTATTATAAAACAGGACGCGTACCTTTCAGCTCCGTAAATGCTCTCTGGAAAGGATGCAGATAGAGGGGTGTGCTGGGACCCCCTGCTGTTGACCCCCCCGCCCCCCCCCAGGGGCCTCAGAGAGGAGAGTGGGACTGAACTGAGGTGGAGGTTCAGACCTTATGAAGATGATAATGGAAGATGATGAAGATGATAATGGAAAACAGCAAACCAAAAAAAAAACCCAACAAGTTGCACAGCTGCATTCTGGATGTCAGATTAATCGGCAGTGGCGGGTCCCCGGCTTTCAGCGGCGGGTCCCCGGCTTTCAGCGGCAATGCCGGGCCAAGACTTCCTCTGAAGCTGCCCACTTACATCTGTGACAGCTCTATAGAGAATCTGATTCATAGCCAGGAGAATGGAAATCAGGGCTGTTTCACCCTGGCCTTTATGCCCCTGAAATCTGGAGGCTCTTTTATTCCTAGCTGTGCAACGCGTCTTCAATTGCATCTGGCTCTCCGCTGCATGAAAGCATTCGGTCGTGCATTCCTGTCATGGTGTGGGGGGGGGGCACGCTTATTCAGGGGGGTGTTATTATTAAGTGACGGCAGAGAGGAGACGGTCCTGAAAAGACGTGCATGGCGTTCCCTTTGGGCTTTTGTGAAGGAGCCGCCGTTCCTTTAGCACGTACCATTTGGCAGAGTGGCAGTGGATCGTACCACCACACATTCGCCACAGCTTCTGCACAAAAACAAAAACAAGGAAAATAAATATGGAGTGATTGGAGAAAATAATTAAACACTCAACTAATAGAATCCTGAGCTGATTCTTCCTTCACCACAAAGGGAACTAATAACTCATATTCTGTTTATTTGAATAAATCATCAGGCTTTTTCTTTCAAAATGTGACATACGCCACGACACTAAAAGTAAAGCCAGAAAAGGAAAACGCTCGGAAATAAAGGGCTCATTAAAAACATGAGCCAAAATGGCCGACCGGAGGATTTTTCTTTGCTTGGATTATTTTCTCTGAGCCCCTCATGCCTGCCGGGCTCTGACTTTCAGGGGTCTTTGTGAAGATTCAAGATCAAAACCCAACCCTAGAGAAAGACCCCGAAGCGTGATCGTGAATTAAATTATCACATTAAAGTGATGACTATAGGGATACATGCTTTATCGCCAATAAAGTTGTTGTAATCTGCTTCAATGAATAAATCACAGTAGTAATTTTAAAAGGGTATCGGCAATGACTGAATAGCTCAAAATTAGATGCATAAATTAAGGTATATAAATCCCCAAAAATTGTTTGATATAATCCAGCAGAGGCAGGGTTATATAGTTAAGAAAGCAGGCAGGCAAAAAGCCAGCAAACTGGAAACATTAAATATGAATTCGGCAAAGCAAACCATGGATACAATGAACATGTATTACTGATGATTAGCGGTGCGTTACTTTTATAATGAAGCAAAGTGACGTGTGCAGTTTGTAAGAGTCAGCTAGAGAAAAGAAGAAGGGCAAACAGCAAAATGGACTCAGCTTGCCGTGGAGGTTTGGGACGGGAGCCGATGAAATCTGACAACTCCAGTCAGTCGTGTGTGACTGGTCTTTTTGGAAGCTTCTAGAACGTGTTTCTATGATAGTCTGGTGAGTTTCTCCAACAGTCCTAGCTGTTAATAGCTCTCTCCTGTCTTCCCTCTGCCCCCTGGTTGGTTCCGCCCTGCTCAGACACGTACGTTAAGCTGACACTGTTGAACTCCATGGGCCAGGAGATGTCCAAGTGCAAGACATCGATCTGCCGGGGGCAGCCCAACCCCACCTACAAGGAGACGTTCGTCTTCCAGGTGGCACTCTTTCAGCTGTCGGACGTGACGCTCATCCTCTCGGTGTACAACAAGCGCAGCATGAAGCGCAAGGAGATGATCGGCTGGATCTCGCTGGGCCTCAACAGCTCAGGAGAAGAGGAGCTGACCCACTGGACCCAGATAAAGGAGTCAAAGGGACAGCAGGTGTGTCGCTGGCACAGCCTGCTGGAGTCCTAGGGGGGGGGGCGACTGAAGGACTAGAGGAGATGTCCGTGGGGAAGAAGGAGGGAGAGAAGGAGGGAGAGAAGGAGGGAGAGAAGGAAGGGGAAGCATGCAGTGAGAAGATGGTGGTCAAAATACCCCATGATTTTAACCTGGGGGTATAATGAGAAGGTTGATAAAGTTTTAACCGAACCTAAACCATCAGGCCAGGTTAGGTTGGACCAAGGATGTTGCCAGTTTGAGGGTGATGCTAGCAAGGAAAGGGGTGGAGAGGGGGGGGCTTTCAGCCTGTGAAGCGAAATCCTTTTGCTCCTTAATCTTTGAAACATCAGTAAATTCCTTGGCAAGGTGCAGGATTAGAATTATGGACTATCAGACTGAGGCTGGTATGCGGGGGTCATTCTCGGCAGCCATGGACAGTATTTTCCACACTTCAGGTCTGCTGGACAGAGTCAATATAAATGAAAGAGGCACAGAGGCATGCCCCACCCAGCCTTGGTTCCGTCACTCGCATCAACCGACCCTCGTTACACCGAGGACGGCAGGTAGAGGCCGTGGACGTCTTCAGAAGTTGAAGCCGGCGCAGGAACGACGGCTGTAGACAAGCCAGCTTTCCGTGCACCAACCGCGGTGCCGTCAAGCCGACGTTTCCGTGTCACATGACTCCACGCGGCTCCGTTCGCTCTCCCTGTTTTAATCGTCTGTTTTGTACTCGCAGTTCGAGCTGAGCTCTCTCGGGAAGTGAGGACTATGCAAGGACAAAAAAAAAGCAGGAATGGGAGGTCGCAAAAATTCCGGATGTCACTAGAATTGTCTGCGCTAGATTATAATCCTAGAGGAACAGCCAAACATGATCAAACATCATGATGACACCACGGGTCACGTAGATGCTACAGAAATAACTAAACACCTGTTATCAGAATGAATATATTTTTCCTGGCCCTTCAGAAGTTCAGCCATTCAGATGACAAGCTGCATTCTTATCCTGAAACACAAATTTCACAAAGAGCCTTCATAGTAACTGGTGCTAAATTTCCCCAATCTGCTACTCAAAACAGAAACAGTATTTTCCACTTCAGCTGTAAGCACAAATATGGCGTTTTTGTTATGTTTTAGCAGGCAGTGCGGGACAGCAAACGAATGAAGGCATTTATGGACACCAGCATGCGATAATTATAGGCCTGTACAGTATGTAGTACAAGCTCATCACGTCGAAGGTCCTCCTGTCTAATCACATTTTCGCTCCCTGATTTTCGTTCTCCAGTCACTGCTACACCAGGCTGTGGTATCAAACCTTTAACAGCATGCTAATTAGTGAATTTCTTCTAAGCATAATCAGTCAGTAGGTACTCTTTACCGGCTGTGAACGGCGTTTCGTTTTGCTAGACCTTTCATGTTAAAAGGACACACGCCTCTACTTCCGCAGGAGATGCTGTAGGCATCACTGCGAACATCTTCATCCTTTGAAGTCTGCATCAGTTTGCTGGTGACCTTGAGTTTTTTTTTTTAACTTCATCTATGAGGAGGGACAGAAAATGATTTTAAAAATGACCAAAAATTTGAAAGATCTGCTTGTTTATAATAAAATGATGCACATTCCACTGGATCTGAATCAGAGGAGCCAAAAACATAGCATGTAAATGAAACCTTTAGATATCATATGTAAACAAAAGCAGCATTTCCATAGTGGATTACAGTCTGCAGAGGAGCCTCTATCCATTCTGAACATCTTTCTTGCCGTTTTCTGGCTGCTTTTTCAATATGTTAAGGGTAATCATGATTTTTACATACACACCCAGATCATGGGCCAGTGGCTCTGTTTGACATGACTGTACAGTCACATTGAACAGTACTTGTTTCCAGGGCTCTCATGCCAACAGGGGGCGCTGGTGCTGTGCCTTTACCCCAGCCTCAGGCAGTCTTAGATCTGGGGTAGCAGTTCACCGTCAGCAAGACAGAATGGGCACCATGAATGTGTTAAGAAAGGTGTGTTCACAATGAAACAGCCTCGTACAAGCTGAGACTGCAGCAGGCTGTTACTGATTAATGCAAGGAATCTTATTATTATCGCTGCTCATCTGTGTAGTGCGGCTGCTGCTTAAGGCGTGATGCCTTTGTTCAGGACCAGGTGCATACGATGAGTGAGGTTCGAAATGTTGGCCGCTTCGTACGCAGTCCTTCAAAACAGCTGACGAGTGCAGTTCCCGAGTTAGCAGAAGTACATCAGTGCATTGAAGCTCAAAACAGAAAGGAAAATAAACAGGAAACAGAGAGAGTTTGACAGGAGACGGAGAGCCTCCACCGTGCGTGGTGAGCAGGCTGCTTAAACATTCCAGCTGGGCCTGAAACCACACCCACCAGTCCAGAACACCAGTCCACCCACCTACCTGCGTTAGGATACCTAGAATTCCCACTCTTCTCAACCAGCCAACACACGTCGAGTGAAGCACAGTAGCCTCCATGCTGCGTCGAGCACAGGCAGTGGCGGATCAGCTCAGCGCCGCCGCCCTGGGGGTTGAAGGGCGACAAGGCCGGGGCAGCTTGGCTATTGGCCATGACCTTTAACGGTCATCCTTCACCAGATGCTCGACAGCTGAGAGACCCCCCCAAAAAAAAAGCTGAGGCAGCCTGGTCAGCAGGCACTGACCTACAGGCTTCTCCGCGGTGCATTTTTGGGCAACGGTTTGACAGAACCCGGGAGCCGGCCCACCCCCCATGGTACTGTTCGGCTCTGACAGGCCAGGCCCAGCGGGGGCTGACCCCACTCCCTGGCACTGTGCCGCAGCCTCTCGGAACCCACTGGCAGCGAGAATGCCCTTTCCTCCTGATTATAGTTTACAAGAAAAACAGCGAACATCACCTCATTCGGGTGGAGAGGGCAAGGGGGGGGTGGTCATGGAGCTGCTTCATTTGCATGATGTTAAAAAGGCGGCAGTGGCTGGCGATCCGCCTTGGGGGGGCTTCTCGCTATCAGTGTCAGATCCCCGGGGCTGCGTGACGCACTAGGCTGCTGGAACGGGCGACTGGCGGACCTGATAGCCGACCGACGCTAATTTTCCCAGGTTTTCCTACCCACTAGTGGGGAAGGGGGGGTGGGTGGGTTCTTATTTTCTAGAGACAATATCAGTGATGGATAATTTAGAGAAGTTGGCAGGGTCCTGGTGGGGCCTGTTACGGCAGTGCTAACAGGGCAGCGTGCTAACAGCGGCTACAGGGCCACGGGCCTGTTACGGCAGTGCTAACAGGGCAGTGTGCTAACAGCGGCTACAGGGCCGCGGGCCTGTTACGGCAGTGCTAACAGGGCAGCGTGCTAACAGCGGCTACAGGGCCACGGGCCTGTTACGGCAGTGCTAACAGGGCAGCGTGCTAACAGCGGCTACAGGGCCAGGCAGACCGCAGGTACACTGACACACAGATCCGCATGACTCATCAAGCCAGGACCCAGCAGAAGGCGGAAGGTCCGCACAGTTCGCCCCTGCCACCCCCCCCCCCCCCCCCGCCACCTCGCTGATGACGACGACCTCCTCCATCTTCTGCAACATTCACAACCTCTGCGTGATCTTTTTCAAATTAGCGTTTTGATCAAGGTACATCTAGCCTACTGATTGTTAAATACCTGAAGCTTTATAAAGATTTTTTCCTACCTATTTTTGTATTAATAGTGAGAAGACTGACTCTAGACAGCGTGTTTGAGTTTGAAGCTCTGTGAGCAGTACGATTTTGGACATGCGTGTGTTCGCGCTTTTTAAACTTTATCGATTAATCATTGTGTCATTTTTATTTTAAGTATCTCACAAAATGTTTGCTCCTTGCTCCTTTTTATGCTCTGCTTTTTCCCAACTAAAAAATGAAAAATCATAAATATAAGGGGGATGTTTTTGCTCATGGCGATGTCGTTTCTTGGCTCTGCAGTTGTCAGTGCTGTAATCCTGGTTCTCCGCCGCCTCCGGCCACGCAGTAACCCAGCAGAAAAACCACCACGAGGCGACTTGTGAAACTGGTCGGCTTTGTGACGGCAAAACGCACAAACATACCTTGTGAAAGCCGAGTCGGGGCAGAAATTGGGGGCCTGAGGTCTGTCAACCTGCCATCCTACCTGACAAACAGGGCTGTTTCTAGGGAAACTCCATTTCCCATCATGCATATCAAAATAGACCCCATCCCTGATGGGTCAACTACTTATTTCTCTGTAAATTCATAGAAACATAACAGTGATGGTTTTCTGCCCAGGCCAGAGCATGGCGAGGCAAAGCGAAATATACAAAGACCTCAGATTGCACGGTCAATAAGACCAAGTACCTGCAATTAAGGTATTCATTTTTTATTTATTTTTTTAGAAACCTAGCTAGTTTCTTACAGTTTCTCCCATGCATGAATACTCCAAAAATGCACATTAAATATTAATTTTGCAAGGCATAATGATACGAGGTTGACAAAGCTCTTGGGGATTTCACTCTCTGCCATGACACGCTACGTTACGGATTTTTATCACCCTGTCCTCTCCCGCCTGAATGTTTATGACAGAGCAGCAGGCCCAGAGTGTGTCTGCCTGAATCGAACCCGGGGCTCCAAAAACACTGAATGAAAAGTTTCAGGCACTAAATCAGAAGGACGCCTTTGACTGAAGGCTCACTGTGCGGCAGCTTCCTCGCTCTCCCTTCCCATGGCGCTGTTCCCAATTTAGTCCACGGAAAGCATAATTATCCGGAAAGTCTGTCAGCTGTGAGATGTAAGACGGCGAAGTTTGGGAGACAGATCCAAAAAAGGGCACAAAATCAGACTGGGCTGCTGCATTAATGCAAAATTCGACCAAAGCGCCGTTATGATTTCGAAAGCAGCCAGTCTCCATCAAAAGGTCAAAGGTCACGGATGTCACATGACATGAGCATCACATGAGAAACGTCTGCAAGGAGCCCTCATTGTGAGCACACGAGATAAGGCTCTCAGCCTTTGTCATTCAGCACTAGAACCCTCACAGACCTTTAATGAGACTTTCACAAGGTATGTTGTTACTCCCGTGGTTTAGAGTCAGTAACATTTTGTATACGTGTTATACACTCTACTGATTTACTTTACCTCTTTATTTACTGATTGTTAAAATCAATACTTTTTTTTGTCTGCCACGGCCACCGATTCTGTCAGTGACTTACTGAACTCTTTATTTTTAGCTGAGAGCTTTACTCTCGAGACAATGTTATGGCACTCTGTGTAAACATACTTCTTTGGATGTGAATTAATTTGTAACAAATCATCTTTCACGATGGTTTCTGGAAAAAAAAAAAAAAAGAGGATTTGTATGTGACGTTGTTGTTCTAAAAAACGCTTCTGCTCTGGGCTTTTGTGTCTGCTGTGTCTCTCTGCCTCTGAGCCAGATGATATAACATCATTTCATCTCACATGAGCCTCAAACTAAGACTCATACAATCCCTTATAATGGCTTCCTGGTTAAGGGACTCAAACCCACATCCACCCAGCAGGGCAGAGAAACACCCTCAGGTAGGTAGGCGAAGCCATTAAACTCCACTTCCTCAAAGAGAGACACCAGTGGTGCCCTCTAAAGTTCAGGACACACAACATCCCACTTCACTCTCACCAGAGCCCCTTCTGCGGCATGTTAACCTCGTCTCTAGACAGATTTCTTATTAATCCAAACGACCCAGTTTTAAGGTCACTTTTAGCCCCGCATTAAGCACCCAGGGGCAACACAGATCCGGGCCTGAGGTCAAATCCAACACAGGCCGACTCTGTAAGGTCCAGTCCCCAAACGGTCAGCATGACCACAAAGCAGACTGCCTTAATCAGCTCGAGGCGTTTCCTCAGACTTGCCTTTTTGCACATGTATGAAAACCTGACTGATGAAGGGTAAGGAAATGGTCATATTTCGTGACTCCCAGCTGCCCATGGGTGAGGACGCCAGTTTCCCAGGCCAGAAGCCAAAGTGCGCCCTCTGCAGTCTGCCGTGAGTCTGTCGCGGAGGATAATCTCTCCCTCACGTCAGTCAGCCCAAACAAGCCCGGACCTGGAAGGGGAATCCCCCGCGGGATAGCCACCCGGAAAGTCACTATTCCCCTGCTCCCACCCTCCTCCTGATTTATTCCTCTATTCTCATTTGAATGGAATTTCCTTGTACGGTTTTTTTTTTTTTATCCCTACTTCATGTTTGACTTCTGCAATAGCCGGAGCAAATCCGTGAGGCGCGCCATCTGGCCAAGTCAGCGAGGTCCTCCCAGTGCAGCCCATCCCAGTGCAGCCTGTCACAGTGCAGCCCATCCTAGTGCAGCCTGTCCCAGCACAGTGTCACAGTGCAGCCCATCCCAGTGCAGCCTGTCTCAGTTCAGCCCATCCCAGTGCAGCCTGTCCCAGCACAGTGTCACAGTGCAGCCCATTCCAGTGCAGCAATCCAGGGCAGGATTCTAGTGCAGCCTGTCCCAGCACAGCATCCCAGGGCAGCCTGTCCCAGTGCAACATCCCAGTGCAACATCCCAGTGCAGCCTGTCCAAGCACAGCGTCCCAGTGCAGCCCGTCCCAGTGCAGCATCCCAGCACTGCCCGTCCCAGTGCAGTGTCCCAGTGGGCCACAAATATATATATATTTTTTGAAGGGAAAAAACAGGAATGAAAGTGGGCCCTACAGGAATTATCCCGCAACAAAACAAGCCGCCTCTTTCCCGCTATAATCCCTCAGACACGGATGAAGGTTTTCAAGGGATGCATTGTTCGCTCAGGAGCTGCTGGCTCACCGACAAAAGCCACGTAGGCCGGCAGCAACTGCCCAGGGGAAACCTAAAACACCGGCAGCGGAAATGAAAAAACTGCAGCTGTAAAAACGGAGTGGCAGGCGGGCGGCATGCCGGGTGTGAGACCCCCGCCACCAGCACTGGCACCGACACTGGCACCGACACTGGCACCAGCACTGGCACCGACACTGGCACCGACACTGGCACCAGCACTGGCACCGACACTGGCACCGACACTGGCACCAGCACTGGCACCGACACTGGCCCCGACACTGGCACCAGCACTGGCACCAGCACTGGCACCGACACCGCTTCCATACATTCCAGAGCAGCAACCTCGGCTGAGCAGCGTGGGGGACGGCAGGTATGGGTTTTGTGCCCAATCTGTCACGGCACGCCTTTGAGAGCTCCGGCGTGACAGCACCCCCCCGCGGCCGGGTCGGGCCCAGACATTTCTGACTGTACCTATGTTCCCACCACCCCGCTGGATTCGCCCAAGGGCTGCGGCAGTGATGGGGGCTAGAGGTGGCAGCTGGATTAAATCTGAGTGTGGTGTCCCTGTAACATCGAGCTTAACAAGGCTTATGGCGTAAGATCCCAGCTTCCGCCACAGACAGGCATACCCCCCAGGGAAAATTACGATGGGGAGAGGGGGGCTTTACTCCACTCACTTTCCTGCTGATCATAAAGCAGAAAAAACATATGACGGTGGGTAACGTTTTACAGCCAGTAACTTAAGAGGCCTTCATCTGCCACTAGTGAGATGGTTTGGCATAACAGAAACTCACCAGGCCACCCTTATGGGGTAAGTGCAGCACACACACACACACACACACACACACACACACACTCAGAAAACAGCAGTGGCAGTGCCCAGGTCTAGCCGGAGCCCCTCCCCAGCACAGTGAAAACTGACAGGGTTTGGCATCGTCGCACCCCCAGCACCTCTTACCTGGAAGCTGCCAGCGTTTGATGTTGAATCTGCGCAGTTTTTCCACCTCAGACAAAAATCTTATCAGGCATTTGCAGCGGATCAGGTACAGAATTCCAGCCTTCCAACATGTTAGTGACTACAGTATATAAACCAGCTACAGTTACACAGAAACATAATGTAAAGCTAGACAGACCAGCCGCTGTGTGCTGAAGACCAGACGGTTATGGGTTTAGAGCCCATCCAGTGATGGCTGATGACTCCAGAATAACCCCAACCCAAATGCCAGTGGAGAAGGTCATTTGCACCCTAGAACAACTTAGATGCATCATAAGACTGCCAGTACTGTTTCTGAATAATTATTCTCGAGAACCAAACAAAACAAAAAAAGTTGACACTGTAATTACAAATCGGACTGAAGCAGATGCGCGCGGACGGACACCCATCAACAAGAACAACGGAGCATTAGCTCATCTATACACAAACCCCACCAGGCTGTATATATGTGCACTAGCGCGTTAAAGCCAACAGATGGCGCCAGAACTGCGCCTTATAGCCGTGAAATCCCGCTAACCTGACGATAAACAGATATATCCCTCCATAGAGAGGCACGATGTCATATACTGTAGCTGTTACATATATCATAAGAGAATGTCGACAAAGGCCGCCATATCCAAGAGCATTTCTGCAATTAATGCAGTACTTAAGCATATCAACACGTTTCAAATCATATATTCCTTTAACACAGGTTGTTGCTTGTCATAAACAATTGGTTAATTGATCGTCATGGCTATTCCTCTTGTACAGTGACACTTTCTCTTAAATAATAGTCTATTTAGTAAAGACTCGGGGTCACTAATATTGTCGCATCAGTTATTGTAGCCAATCTGAAAAGCGAGGGTGCGTTTGAAAATGATTTTGCACCTTTGCTTTCGTACCTCTCCAAAGCTGAGCAGAGTTATTTAAACCCCATTTTCCAGTGGTCAGTCCTCTCCGCCATCTGGAAAAGTAATAGGAGAGTTTTACTCGGGGAGGAGATCAGTGAAAGGAAGGGGGGGATCTATGGTTTTGGCCCAGATGTGTGAAGGTCTGTCTTCGAGCCCTACAGGGCTGTGTTTTTTTGGATCTTGCAGCCAATGCGAAAAAAAGGTAATAATGAGAGGGGCCAGCGAGCACGAATTGGCAGCACTCCCGAAGCTGCTCTGAATAGGAAGCGAAGAGCAGCATGCACGCCGGAGAAAGGCTGGAAAAAGCGAGTCGACGTCGGATCAAAGGGGGAAATGCATAACAGATGCCCGAGTGCGCTCCCTCCCCTCGCCTCCGTGTCGGTCACACGTAAAATCCGTCCCCAGCCTGAAAGCGGTCCAGCGGGGGACTACCAGCGGAGGGGATGGGACGCGGCTCGCCTCCCCTCCTAACGTGCACGGCTGTCACTGCGAGCGGCGGACCAGCGGCATCGTACCACCTTTTTTTATCTTTTTTTTTTTTGCGGATTGCCCGTGGAGTCTCTCCATCTCCAGAGGGGTTGGGGGAAGCGGCTGGATGGACGCAAGCAAACACGGCTTTGTCTGAGCTGTAACGCGATTGCGGAGGTGAGGGCACGGTGAGCCGCTCTCCGGAGCCCGTGTGGTCCGGTGCGTTGCGGAATCGGGGTCTCCGACCAGCCCCCCGTCGCTACGCGCGGACGCCGCGCACATTAAACCGAGTGGATGCGGAGCGGAGCGGAGCGCTGCGCACCAATGATCGCCTTCGCTGTGTGAAGGGGAACCAAGGCGCTATATCCACACCATTCAAGGTAAGGCGCTTTTGTGCCTATGGGACTTACCCGTATCTCCTAGGTTATCCTATTGTCGTATTTGCGGACTTTACATTACCTGCAATGATTTAATGCTTTGTGTCTATTTATAGACGATATATTGTATATATAAACATGTAACCAATTTCGTCCTCATTAAAAGAAAAAATCAACCCCATTATAAAGATAAAATTAAATGGGAGACTAAGTCGGAGGTTATTTATTGTCTGTTGGTGTAATATGGCAAGGCGCCGAGCAGGATTAGTTTCGTGGCGTTATTCTGAACTGTGAAATCCACGCATCGGTGTAAATCGGTGGATATACGGGCTTCTGCTACCTGAATCAAAAGAAACTGTTCCTAAGATTTCCATCGAAGACAGTCTTTAATTAAAAGCAACGGTAAATTACGCCTTCCACTGTTTTCTTTGATTCCGGGGACAAAATGTCGCATATTAACTGATAATTTAAATAGTTTTTAAGTTTTTAGCGCGCCTTTCATTTGAGATTATTTAAGACGACGAATGTGCGCAAAACTAATAAAACGCAGCGTCTCACCTTGTTTGTGATGTAGAAAGACAGGTGATATAATAATGGCTGTTAGTGCCACGGGGGGTCACAGGTGTGGCAGGCAGGGGAAAACGTCCCATCATCTGCCCAGACCGTGAAGACGTGACCACTGCGGAGCCGGGAGGAGATCAGCATTCAAGAGGGAAACTTAGGGGCACCCTTTAACTTCTGCGCAAATGTCGGCGATGTTGGCGCTTTAAGTTTAATAAGGTGACGTCGCTTTCTGACATTATGCACAATGCCAACCTGAAGCACCAAAACTATTCATCTCACCCCAGTGTAACGCCATTCCCCTGTAGGGCTGCCATTAATCACCCTGCGTCGGACTCTTTTTTTCCCCATTACCGCATCTTCCCTCCAGTTTTAGAGGTGATATTTTGCAGGAGAGGACGCCCGTGACGGCGCGACTCCTCACCAGCTTCTAATCAAACCCGGGGGCTCCTGAGATGTGCTCGCACACCCTAATGACCTCTTAGACTTGCGGCGGAGGTTCGTGTCGGAGGGGCGAGGCAGCGCAGGCGGGTCCTGGCGTCGGCTAACAGCTCCAAGTCCTCTCACATGTCCAAGCAGATAGAGCAATCTGCTCTTGTTTAAACACTGGCAGCTTTTCAACGGGACTTTCGGGGCGGAGGAAGAAAGAGCTTCCCTTTACGCTCTTTTCAGTCTCTCTCTGTCACACGCACACACTCCTGGGTCTTTTTGTGGAATAGCGTGCATTAGCCCTGCAGACCTGTATTATGGCTGGACGCAGATCGACAGTCTTTCCCTGCCAGGAACATCTGGAGTCGCTCGCCAGGAATTCCAACCTTGGCCGTGCGTTTCCCTTAGAAGGAGAACAGAGAGAGGCGGAACCGCGAGGGTCCGGCGGGGCCAGGGGGGACTGGGGGGGGGGGGGGGAACATGCCGATGAGCTGTTGTGGGTTGTCCTTTGGGGATGGGATGTTTGGGTGTCGTGGGCAGACGAGGATGTGTTCTCCAGTGTTAGTGCTTCCAGAATCCAGCCAGAAAGCTACCAGAGAATAAAATAAACTCCTATTCCTGTCAGGGTGCGAGTCATTGCCGAATTCCCTTGGCCGTCATTTAAGGCCGTGTGTATTTGTCCATGGTAAACCCACCCCCATTTTTTTTTCTTTCTGGGCTGGATTGAATCATGACACATCCAAAGATGCGCCCTTGAGACAGGCAGCCTTCCCCCAGAACCAGCAATGGGGTTGTTAGTACATTGCCACACAAAGGTGTGTGTTTGTGTGTGGGGGGGGGGCATGAATGTTCATTCATACTTTAGAAATTCCTACTCATAGATACTTGCCACCCTGGATGGAGGGGGGTCCACCACAGCTAGCTGTTTGACAGGAATCCATCACACTGTGAGTCATTGGCACTCACGCTGGAGGAGGGTGATGCAATGCAGGCGTGACGTCATCTCACCCCCATCGGACTCCGCCAAGCATCCCATGGAGCCTCTGAAACCACAGAGCACCAACCGTGACCTTGGGGGGGTCCGGGAGTGATGTGCGGGAAGCATTCGGCAGCCTCATGCTGGGTCGGCTTAGTGTCCCACCTCATCTCACAATCAGCAGCATCCCCCCCCCGCCTGTTGAGGTGCAGATTCCGTTTTCCAGAATGATCCACTGCTTACAACTTTCCATCACAATATACACACAATATACACCCATGATGCACGTTACCGACACAGTGTCCAATTCACAGTCCGCAGCCCACGAGCGTCTGGGCTCATTACTTCAGACTCCTGCTGTTGCATGTAGAACCACCCAACCGGGTCACGGCACCAGCCTAAGCCTGAGCCTGAGCCTGAGCCTGAACCTGAGCCTCACACCGAGCTGCGCTGTCAGACACAGCAGGGGTCATGTGACCAGCTACAGGATCTACTGGGAGTGTCACCCTCTCACCGAAACATTTAACCGGCTAACCATCATTTTCACATCCCAAATCTGCAACTCTGCCCCCAGCACTGTGTTCCAAGGTTAAGGGTCAAATAGGAGTTTTGGAATCCAGTCCTTCCTCACCGCCCAAGTGCTAACAAGTGAAGCCCCGGGCGTCTCCATTTACTAGCAAACTCAAGTTCCCCAGAGCTTTCAGCCAGCAGAGAGCTAAAAAAAACATCAAAATCGGCCCGCAGATACATTTTTCATGGCACGCACTTAAATTAGTGCTTGCTGGAGTGCCTTTGTGAGGCCGAATTAGCCCGGCTGCTAAATCGGAAACGAGGTGAAGGCGGGGCAATTAGAAAATAATGCCTCGTTAGTGCTTTTATTGGAGAGGTCATAAAAGTCAATGGTCTTTAACGAGAAGGTGACAGCTGGCAGAAAGAGCGGCTTCCTTTCACGGGGATCGAGGTGCGTTCGAATGCACGCTCCGTTACTGGGGAAGCTGACAGAGCGGGTCGTCATTGAGAGTTACAAGCAGGAAGCTAATTGTTTGCCGTTTTACGGTTTCCCTTCGACTCTTGGCATATGTGCTGAGCAGGACCAGCCCTGTTTTACAGTCCTGGCTGTAGCCCCTCATTCACCCTCACTCTGCCCTGCTCCCCCCCCCCCAGCCCCACAACGACCAATGGGTGGCGCTGTTTGTTATATGATTCAGACGAGCGCTTACGGCAAGCAAGCCCTTAACTGCTGACAGTATGTTGGGGCAGGACAAGTCTGTCAAGCAGAGTGAGGTCATTCTGCAGGTGGGAGTGAGGCTAAGACAGTGAGAAAACTACGGTCGTAAAGTTTTCTGGCCGAGCTCAAGTCATTTAATACAATGAATCTTTATCGCACGCGTTTGTTTTCTGGTCAAAGTACTTTTTCCTTTTGTGACAGGCGATGCAGACTGCTTAGTGTCGAGGGCCACGGGGACCAGTAAGGCATTGTGGGAAATTCTGGAACTATCTGGGAGCGGGAGAAACTTTGTGGCGGATTGCGAAGCGCATCGCTGTCTCCGCGGAGCCGGTGATTCCTGCGAGGCTGTGTTGTGATGTCTGCTAACGAGGCAGCCGGGGTTCCCTGCCGCTGACAGGAATACTGGGACGCCTCCATCGGCTTCCCGCGTAATGAAGCTCCTGCCTCCGCACTCACTGCCGACAGTCTCCCAGAGGCTCCGGCACGTTCCGCCGGGGCGGCCGCACACGGGGGGGCGGGGGCGAGAGGGGGCTGGCGTCCCTTCTGGCAAAATCTCAACGTTGATGAATCGGGGGGCAGGAAGGGGGGTGTACACTTTCATGTGTCGCTGCCTGAGTACAAGTACGGTGAGCGGATGACTGGGGGTGGAAGCGGAGGGGGGGGGATCCCCTAGAATTCAAAGTGTACCCCCCCCCCATCCGTACCTGAAGTAGAGTAAGGTGCCGCAGGGCGATGGAGTACCACCCATCAATCAAACCAAAGGCACGTTTGGCAGAGCTACGCCCACACCCCTTCCTGAGAAGGTCCCCCTCCCAGTCCCATCCCGGCCCTCCGGCTGCTGAAACACACAAGGCAGTGGGCAGGGTTTTCCAATATGGCCACCGCTGGCTTTGGCACATAGAAATGCTGCTTGCCCTTACTGTAGAAGGTTCCGCCCGGAAACCCCCAGAGCGGGGTCCCTGTGAGATCTAGCAGCCCCCACCCTGGCTGTGATTTGTGACCCACAGACTGGCAGATTGTTCCAGAAGGACACAGTGTCCCGTGAAAAGCATTCGGCTTGGACATACAGGCTACAGGCCAGAGTTACGAGCCCAGAGAGACAGTTCTGAAAATTGAGGTTGTCATAATTTTGTCATAGGCGTGTTTGTGTTTTACTGCACGTGTGAAGCTATTTCGCCATGTTGTTCAGACAAGTTTATCTTTCCTGTAACTTCATTAAATGAATAGTTTACGTGCTTTAAGAGGCTTGGGGTTGTTCAGTCAGTGGAACCTGGCCTGACCCTATAGCCCCCCCCCTACCTACAGCCTGGAGGAGCCCCCAGCATAAAGGTTAAGTGCTGTTAGTGTCAGTCATGATTAAAAACTCTCTCTAAAGAAGGCCAAGTGAGTCAGGATGCTGTTCATTAAAGGCCCAGAGCAGCAGATGGGTGTGGCTCGTCTGTATATCACATTTTGGGGGCCATTTTTTCAGTCCCCACAAAGGGAAACTCAGTGTAATAAAAATCTGTGACTGCAATGAAAAAACTAAGAATTCCAAACTCTTGTATTTAGTTTGGTTACTTATGGTTAAGGTTAGGGCTGGGTAGGGGTTAAGGTTGTCATTGTAGTGATTAAGGTTTTGTCCATAAAAATGAATGGACGGTCCCCACAAATATATGGACACAAATGCGTTTGTGTGTGTGTGTGTGTGTGTGTGTGTGTGTGTGCTTGTGTGCGTGTGTTAGGGGGGATGTTTACATTCTCCCTTCTCTCCAAAGGTGTTCTGCATTTTCTCCAGACTACGTTCAGTCATTCTTATTAAACACAGATAACAGCCCCACCCCCTGCACACGGAGTCGGGCAGCATGCTAAGCGTGTCCCCCGCAGTGGCCCTGGGGACAGGGACGGCTTTGCGTGAGGACTACAGAGAGCGAGCTTAGCCCAATCCACCGTTAGCCGAAACGCGGTGATATAGTTCAGCCCTTGTTGCTATGGTGCGCAATTCACTGAGTGACTGTATCAGTGCCGTGTTTTACCGCGCTCCACGCTGGATATGGTGATGGAAGTTTCCGGACTCCGCCACACGCAGGGTGTTAAAAGGTGACTTGGCTTGAATCGGTTGTGTGGTTTGCTTGCCATACCAGCAAGGCGTCTATGTCTCTGTACTGCAGACCCTGGTTCACACGCTCTGTGCGCATGTTTGTCCCCCTCAGATGTGGAAATCCCAACCTAAAATCACGATCTTAGTGGCAGAGACGCCCAATTCAGATCACAGCCGATTCCAGAACCGGAGCGCGAGACAGATCCTTCACCTGCAGGAGAACACGGGTTCACTTTGGGGAAGGTGACCTTTGGTTCCACAATGACCCCCCCCAGCACCCCCTCCTGCTACTGCCAAGTGTAACAGCTGTCGTTTAGGTGCCCGTGTGTGTGTGTGTGTGAGAGAGAGAGACAGACAGTGTGTGGTCTGAATACAGCGGAGGGCCCCCACCTTCAATCAGAGCGGCTCGCTTCCCACGCACTGCACCTTGCCTCAGGCCTAGACAGCAGCGCCCCCTAGTGGGATCGTGCCTCCACACCACAATTAACTTCTCGCCATCAAAGAGAATAGGAAAGTGGGAGACCGGTAGCTCCTGGGAGGGAGCTAGGGAGATGAGAGGAGCAGGAGGAGCGGGTGGGGCTGCACCCCCCACCCCCACCAACAGAGGCGTTCTGCCACGGAGAGCGTGTGCTCTCCACCGGGACTGAGACAGAGAGAATGAGACAGTGAAGCCCTCGGGGAGACCCCCCCCCCTTTTATTCCTCTCTCTCCTTGCCCCCCCTTGCTCACTCCATCACCCCCACTCTCTGAAGAACAAGAAGTTTTGCTCTACATGTAGGGAAGCAAGCAGATATTTCATTATTTTTTTTTCTCCCCCAACTGCGAGCTGTCTGCTGTGGCGTCACATTTAATAGCCTGGGAAGGATGTCAGCATCTCAGGGAGAAGGCGGATAAAAGCGGAGCGGAGAGGAGAGGGGCACACTGCGGGGGGGGCGGGGGGGGGGGTCCTCGGGGAACGAGGCGGGATGACGCGGAGACAGCCAGCCGCGGGAGGACGGGGACTTTATATAATTATCTGCTGGCGCTCCTGCAGTTTGGTGAGACGAAAGTTAATTAGGGTGGGATGGCCCTCCAAGCTGGGGGGGAGGGGGGGGCAGGGGGTGTGTGTAAACCTTTCCGGACGAGTAGTTATCCAGGCAGGTTGGGCAGATTGACAGCTGCTCTCTCTCCCTCTCTCTCTCTCTCTCCCTGACTCCAATGTAATGTCTTTCCCTCTGGCATTCCGGCGTCCGGATCATCTTCATTCGACACCACATGAGGGAGCCCCCCCCCCCCCAAAGAAAAGGTTGGGGTTAAACCCTCAGCAGAGGGAGGGGGTGAGCAGCTGGCAGAGGGACCTGGGGGGCACGGTATCGCTACGGCCTGCTGGTGCGAACATGAAATGGGGCAGAGGACAGCACGACCAGCCCATTGTGGGCTCCAGTCCCCATGTCAGCGTGCCCTCGGGAGTCACTCCAGTCCCCGTGTCAGCGTGCCCTCGGGAGTCACTCCAGTCCCCGTGTCAGCGTGCCCTCGGGAGTCACTCCAGTCCCCGTGTCAGCGTGCCCTCGGGAGTCACTCCAGTCCCCGTGTCAGCGTGCCCATGTCAACAAGACCGGAAAGAAAAGCATGGAATGGCAAGCTAGGATGCATCTGTGCTAAGAAACTGCAGCGGTGGTGGTGGGGGGGTATGACTGGGGGGAGCACACAGAAACAGCTGGGCTACAGGTGGAGTTTATACAGCAGTTTCCAGGCTTCGGGAGCCGCTGGGACGAAGCGGGAATGTCCATGACGGCGTCCACCGCCTTTCTGTGCTCAGGACTCTTTGGGGGGGGTTGTGTGCTTTGCCTGAATGTCTGCCGACCATGTCAGGGTCATGTCAGGGTCACGGCCGGCGAGCGCCACCCTGGGGCTGCAGACAGATCTGTTTGCTCTCAGTCGGTGGGATGATTAGAATTGCTGCCGTCTCAATGGCTGCTTTCGCATCCACACAGTTATTCCAGCCCCCAGTACATGCCGGGCACCTAAGGTGGCTTTCAGACACACCACTGTGCTACACTCATATGCCACATAGCAACAGAAAGCAAACATAACTAAAGAGAGTTCCAGAGAAACATGACACAGGGATATACTTGGATGCCTTGCTGGTCAGACTTCTGACAACAGTGTATACCCTGAGGGGTCGAGGCTCTGTTACTAATGGGACACCCCCCCCCCCATGCAGACAGGAGTGAGTGAGAGATGACCCTGGTCCTGTCCATGAATTCATTTTGCGACCACGCCGCCTGCGAGGAGGAGTCCACCCTCCCACAGTACCAGCCCATCTGGGAGTCCGAGCGCTGCAGCAAGAGCTGTGTCTCCAGCCCCTCGCCACAAGGAGGCGCCGTGGAGCAGCTCGTGGAGGGTAGGCCTGAGCCGGATCCACGGCGCTGTCCCTTTTCTAACCGATTCCTGAGTATCCCTCGGGAGTCCCAGGGAATGGCCCGGTTCTGGAATTCAGTGCTGTCTTGTAGAGCAGGGGCAGAGTTATCTTGACCGGGAATCCCGCCTCTGTGAAACGTAAATGGCTGTGGGAATCCCACACACAGAATTTACATGTTTTTATTTATTTCACAATTTTTTCCCCAGAGCCTCACTGCAGAAGACCACCGGATCATGTGGTGGCCTCGAGGATCGCCTACTTTAAAAGGAAGTATGTGGAGGAGGACCAGCCTCCCTTCAGCTTCAGAGGCTACTGCCAGACCGTGAGTGTCCCACTCCCAGGCCTAGGCTTAGTGCTTAGTCTGTTCCTAGTGCTGAGTTTCCCGGTGTGGCCTGCAGGTGGCGCCAGTGCTGGAAGAGCGTGCACACGTGCTGCGCCTGTCCCTGGAGAAGATGCGCTTTATCGACGACCCCGAGGCCTTCCTGCGACGCTCAGTGCTTGTCAACAACCTGCTGCGCCGGCTTCGTGCTGAGATCCTGCTGCAGAGCGAGTGGTGCCTCCCACCAGGCCCCGCCCCCACCTGCCCCTGGGAGGCCCCTCCGGGGCCCTACCGCAAGCGCTTCCGGCTAATCCGCGGGGAGGCCCCAGAATGCCTGCAGACCTGCTGCTGCTTCTGTGGGGGGCGCTATCTGCGCTTGCCATTCTCCGTCTATGAAGACACAGCCACCTCCTCTTCCTCCTCCTCCTCGTCATCGTCCTCCACCTCCTACGCCTCATCCTTCTGCACGTCCTCCTCTCCCCCCTTTCCCCAGCTGCTCCCCACAGATGGTAGGAAGACCCATCTGGACTCCTTGTACCCTGGGCCGGACCTGCCCGAGGCAGGCGGCGCTGAGGGGCCTGCGGACCCCAAGGAGCGGCCCAGGTCGCGTGAAAGGGAGCGGCCCAAGGCGGGTCATTCGCGCTGGGGTGAGCTCGGACCTGAGCCAGGGGTCCAGGAGAGCAGGAGACTGTGAAGCAGAGAGAGCGAGAGGGAGGGGGCTGGGGGGGTCCGCCGGCACGCCGAGGGGCAGCCAGAACCAGCTGAGGTTTTTCATTTGAGACGTTTGGGCAGGTCCAGCACGGCCCGTTTGGATTGAGGTCCATTTCCACATCTTCATCTGCCCGCTCTCCTGGTCTTTCCCATGAAGCCGTCACATTTGTCCAGATTGACAAACACATGGTGCCTTAATTTTATAAATGTTTTTTTGTTTCTGATCTTGTACCGTCTATAATTTCATGAAATTCGCTGCAGCAGCACATAACCAGAAAGGCTGTTTTTGGAGGCCCCCCCAGCTCAGTACGGAGTCCTGGGGGGTGTGACCCCACTGGCCATCACCTCCAGGGGGCGCTGCTGTCTAGGCCCGAGGTGAGGTGCAGAACGACATAATTCAGACATAATGACATAATTTGGACATAATTCATGCCTCACCCAGAATGAAGGACCCTAATACGCTGATTGCAAAAAAGACTACCTTACCCCCCCCCCCAGCCAGAGGGCGGCACGCACCCTGCGTGAAGCGAGAAGTCAGGTGACCCAGCTGGCCCTCTGTTCTCCATGGTAACTGCTGGATTTCTCCGCCTCGCGACCAAATCGCATCTCCAGAGACATTATCTGTTGAATAGCTACCATTCTGACGAAGTGCAGGCGAAAGAACCTTCCGGAAAGACTGTATTAATTTTGTGAATTTTCCTTCAGTAGTTTAAATTTGCTTTGATTTATCGAGAGCTTTCTAGAATCAGATGACAATGAAACCCAGGCAGGGAGCGACACTGCAGCAGGATTGGATATAAACACTCAGAAGCACAAAGGTTTGCTTTTTCTTAAAGGGATGGTGGTTAGCAGTGAACCCACTTTGATCAGGCGTTCTGTGTGATGTTTTTGTGACAATTGTAAAAATTATAATGAATAAAATGTTATCGCGTGTGCCCATCTCTACCTGTGTGACTGTACACCAGGCGAGAGTCATCTAGTATAGAAAAGCTGTACTCCTACTCACCCGGAAACAGTAACAACCTGTGACCTTTGACCTTACTCACTTTAGCAGGCTAATAGGAGCAGGGATTGTTGTTGCCTTTCTCTCTTTAGGTCTAATGTGGTGACAATTTGGCTCAATAGAATCCAGACCAGAAAACATGGTTCCTAAGGATGAGGTGTCCAGCATAACTCCCACCTAAAGGATGTGGACCAGGGTTCCCAGATCTGCTTCTCGATATGTTACCCGTCTTTGTTCCTGAATGATTTGGTGAAAAAGACTCCAGATTTAGTAAGAGGCACGGTGAAGGTCAGACATGCCAAGTCAAACCAGAATGAAGCTGGTCACAGGTCATGTTGGATAACCAAGCGCACGGAGAGAGGTAATCGGTTTGGATTCAGAATCATGGTGCCATGTTGCTGCACATGAATTCGGCCAGCTGCCCCCCCCCACCCCCGCCAAGCCCCCCCAGAATTTCAGCAAACACTCAGTCCTGAGAGGGGGGGGTGGGGGGCTGCTCTTATTAAATTTCTCCATTCCCCGCCAAGCCCCCCCAACACCATGCCAGGGCTCGTTAATCTTCCCGCACATGAGCAATCATGTCCTCCCCCCTGCTTCCTCCCTGGCAGCACCTTCATCGCTATGGAAACGGCATTTACCGGCCACGACATGCTACGGGCTTACAGCGCCTGCGAGGGCATGTGGGAGGTGGGCCTGCCTACTGCACCACGTCAGGACACTTAAGTCTGGGGGCCCCTGGGCCACACAGCACTGCCCTAAACAAACCACTGCAGTATCATGGTGGGTGGGGGGCAGGAGCATAAACCGACATCGCACCGACATCATTCCCAACGGCCCCCGCCCCAGTGAGGAGTGTGAGGTCACAATAGCGCAGCCCCGCTGGACACCGTCCTCCGATGCTGACAGAACATGGTGCGTGCTCGCTCGCTCGCCCCCCTCCCTCAAAATCACTGTAGGCCCAGTCTCCTCCCTCACCCCCAGCTCAGGGGATCTGGTTTTTTTCGACTCAGACAGACTGCGGTGAGGGGAGCTGTCATTTGTCAACAAGGAACTTTGGCAGCTCCTGGTTTCCATGGGAACAGTCTGTTGCCGAGGAATGGTTTTGCATCTCAAGGCCCCAGAATTGGCTGCATCGCCTGGCGGGTCTGCCCGCGTAATGCCCATCACCTTTGCTTTGAGGAGAGAGGACCAGCTTCCCCGGGAATCAGGCCACACGTTTCCCATGACAAAGCTGACATATTTTTCTGGCTAATATACAGTAGACATCGTTTAATTTTTAAACCTCTATAATGTCTGCTTACAGTGACAAGCAGGAAGAGAAGAGCAAAGAGCAAAGCACCCTGGGCACACCTCACCACCCACGACCCCCCACCCAAAAGGGAAATCGCCTAATTAATTTTGTGCCCCCCCCCAGGAAGATGGTGCCCCAGACAACCACGTACGGCATACCGGTTCACTGTCACCTGTTTTCATCCCTCACACTGCCAGAGGTCCCTAATTGGATGGTCTTGCCATCCCACACTGCAATACATCCACTGCCATTTTTGTACAAAGTCATTTAACTGCTTAGCCAATTCTTCAGAGCTCGTTACGATCCAGTTTATGATGGCAGGACATTTTGCTGGAGGTTAGGCTGCACACTGATGAGGCTTTTAGCCAGCAATCTTGCAAATGCATACTCGCGGTCACACTTTAACCCATAGCTCCGTGTCAGCCTGCATCTTTACAGTGATGTGTGTGCATACGCTATCCCCACATGTCACTTAAGACCCAGTTACAAACATCTAGAAAGCCTGGATGATGTGTGTCACCAAAGCTAGCCCATTAACAGTGTTCGTGTCTGGATCTCCTCCCGATCTGTGACCCACAGTGAAGTCGCACTGCCCCAGATTGATTTCCAGGAAGAACCGCACTACTTCATCTGACGTGTCCCGATGCCACATCCAAAGGTATAAGCAGCTGACACAGTCGTCCCATGGGGTTTAAAGGCATCACTTTGTAATGCCAGCCCCAGCTGACACAGGGCTGTCTTCACGCTCTCAGGCGCGAACCTTAAACGAAGGGATCGGGGCTGGGGGGGGAGACTGCTATCTGTTGCAGAAGCCAAGCCCCCTCCCCACGTTCCAGCACATACACACAGCACGCTTCCAGCTGTGTGCAGATAAAACACAGCACCCATGTCTTCAAAGCATCATCACGTATGATGGGATCCTACAGATGCACCACACGGTAACGTGGGGTGACCGTAAGCCCCGGACGGGTGCCCACGCAGGCGCCTGTCACAATACACAAGCTCATCTCCCTCAGCTTTATGCCTCTTAACTGCGGTTATATAAGCATTTGGTGTGTTTATGGGGCGGGTGGGGGGGGGGGGGGGGTTATATATGCAAATACTGGGATCACAAAATGGAAAAAACAGCAGCTGCCATTATGGGTGTCGGGATCGGCCAAAAGGGGATTGCGGCTAACATCACGATGTGGGAGGGGGGCGAGACGCTGAGTGACCCTGCGGGTCCCTCTCTCACCTGCTGGGGCTCTAGCAGCCAGACACCTTGTTTGTTCTGAGCGCTTTTAAACATCTTAAAGGGATTGACAGCACATGTCCCGCTTAGAGAAGAACCTCGCAGCCTAGTCAATAAAAAAACAGGAATAAGTGTAAGTATTAATCCCAGCCCTCTCTTATGGGGGGTCGCTATCTGAATAATCCCCCTCTTCCTGTTCTCAGAGAGCTGAACAACATCCCAACACAGGTGGCAGGCAGGTTTCACCCAGACGCGACAGACGTAAATGGCATACATGCAAGTCAGACACGGTGGTGGATTTTCCATGAGAATTTTAAACGCATGTTCATCAGGAATTTTTAAAATCAACTCCAGATGTTTGGCTGGCCAGTGGGGGGGGGGTGGTAATGAGTATTACTGCTCACAGATGAATATGGCAGCAAGGCATGTTGGGAAAAGAGGTAAAACAGGGAAGGGAGAAACTTTCACTTTACTTTTCAAAGCAAGTCCTTCTCTTGTTCTGTGCCTGAGGTTACTTTCAGGTTATATAACATGTTGGGGGGAGGGGGGGGGGTGCTAAAACTGAATGTTTTATTACCGTTTCCACCCCCCTACCCATTTTCCCTCGGGCTGAACCGAACTTCACGTTCGCTAATCCCCCACGGTGCCACTGTGAAGCTCTGCATTACCCCCAGAAAGCCGCTGTCCGATCATCTCCGGGAGGATCACGGCCTCCCTCTCTCTCACCAGGCCTCAGTCACCACAGGGCACCTTCACACGCAGCCAGAGAGCTGCAGGGCGCACTGAAAGGTGAAAGCGACTACGCCACCCAAAGTGAACGTCCACAGCCAGGCAGACCAGCCTGTCAGGGTAGTATCCTGGATGGATGGATGGATGGATGTTATTACCAATATCGCTTTCATGTAAGATGTGTACAGATCGAGTACCATGTGACATCAGAGACATAATGAAGTACACTGGAGGATCGGGACTCACCCTCATTAAGGTGCTGTCACCAGATTAACGGGAAGTCCGCCGATTCCACGCTAGATCAGTCACCTCAAATGATCCAGGAACAGCCTCGGAAAGATCATGGGACATTTCAGAGGAGCGTCTGTAACTTTGCTGGACATTCTGAAGTTGCAACAACTGAAACGATTCTGACTGCTCCCGTATCTCACCGAGACTTCATATGAACATCCAAACTAGATTTTTTTAAAAATCCGCTTTCAATCCTGTTGACATTTGCACAACATTGTGTTCTAAATGATGGTTATTATGATAAAATAGCACCTTGAAGTAATTCGCATATTTTATAATTATGGTGAGAACAGGGGGCCGTGGTCTTTCACAGGTGCACCGCTATAGTCACAGAAAGCAGTGCTTGTTATCCACTTATCCAGCTAATTCGACATTCGATGGCCTCCTTGACTCTGCCCTTGGGAAGGGGGGCTGGGGGTCCGTCCCTCAGTAATATAATTTGCCAAACATCGGGGAGTGACGTCATTGAAAATTTTCACCCAAAATGAAGCTGTGAGGTTAAAGATGTTTCAGGATAAAGGCCTTTTTTTAAAAAAGAAAGACATAAAATACAGACAGTGTCCTTGTTGCGTGGCGTTTGGGGGGGCACAATGGTTTATTTGAGGGGGGATGGCCTACGAATGCCCTCCCCCCATGATGCCATCCCTGAGTGGTCACCAGCTGGTTAAACTGCCTGCCTGAGGATCTTTGCCAATTTTTGCCATAGCACCACTTCCGCACAACGCCGGGCACGGCACTGCCGCCGGGGAGCTCAACATAACGTTTGAAGAACGTCGGCCTTAGAGGAGTGGAGACACTGCCTGAAGGGCACCTCCTTCATCTGGAAGGATCATAAAAATTGAATCAACTAACATTTTCAATGAATAAAAACGAAAGCATGATTATTTGAGGAATAACATTCTTTTCTGGAGCTGCTGTTGCCCTTCGCAGTGCAAACCTGACCTGAAACCAGTCACTTGGGCTAACCAGCAGATCCTGCAAGGGCTGTCGATCTGCAGCTCTCCGGTGCTGTTGTGTGAGGGGAGTCTCCAGGATTGGATGGAGTGAGACAGTGGCAGTTTGAGGTTTCCCTGCCCTGGACTGGTTTCAGGCGTCATCTGCATCCCCACATGTTCTCTGAATGGGGTCCTTGTTTGATGTTCCCTCTGGGGAGAACATGTCTTACAGGTGTCACATTACTTCCCAATATATCACTCCTTCCCCCAGGCTGTGTCCTGACCCACAGTGAGGAGCAGTCGTCTGGCTTAACCACCCCCCCAGGGAGGCACACCCTGATGTGGCCGCAGGACCAAACAGCACAAGGGCTCCCCCTGTTCTCCGTTTCCCTGCCAGCCGTTCTCTCACTCCTGCTTCCTCCTAAGAGCTTTCGCTTACCAGTCTGCTGGACGGTGTGTGGCTCAGCAGTTTTCAATCATCAGAAGGTCGTTGGTGCGAATCCCGGGGCCAGCGGACCGATTCCACCATTGGGCCCTCAAACAAGGTCCCGATTGGTCCAGGGGCCAATCACTCTTACTTGTTCGAGTATGTGTCTCAAAGGGGAGCCAGATGGGATATGTGAAAAGAAGCATTCCAATGTACCTGCAAAAATAACAAAACATTACTTCATTTTTTAAAGTCAGGGCAATCAAGAAAACTCATTAACACAAGCATTGCTGTAATATCAAAATATCACCAATTCTGCTTCCATCGTCTGATGCATACATAACTAATCATATAAATTGTGACGAGCTGTCACGGTTACTCGAATAAACTGTATTATAAAAAAAATATCAAAATTCGATTACTCGGCAATATGGCACATAGTACTTCACATTAAAAGTGAATGAAAGTGCAGTCGTCTATCAATATTGTAAAGTATTGTATCAGCACAGCACGACTGCAGTGCTAATACATTTCAAAGAAGACTTTCGGGTTTGACGGACTCACAAACTAATGCAAGGTTAACCATAGATACGTGCAATTTAATCTGACTTAAATTATGTTGCTTAATATACTTTCTCCGATTCCTAAAGCCGAAAAAATTGCTGCTAAAGCGAAGGTTAGCCCCATCGCTTAGCCGCATCATTTTACGTAATTCCGTACATTTACAGTAGCTAACCAATATGAACTATTTTGTCAACGTGTTGTGTATTAGGGCTGAATTATACTGGGAAAAGTTCACACTGCGATATTGTACGTTTTTGTGATTATTTAGGAGTTGAATTAACTACATACTGTGGGATTCAACTTACTATCCAACAACAGAATCTGACAAATAAATTCGTGGTGCCTTGAGTTGTGGCAGCAGACTCAAGGCAGAGCCGACAAATCACTTACTCCTGCTCAGTATAGTCTCTATAGAATACAAAGTATTTACATACTGAGGGAAAGAAAGAATTTTTTGTGACCAGTTCTTGTTCGCTTTTCCCCTCCTCGCTTCTTTTTAATTCCTCACAAACGATGAATGAATGAGCCCGAGAGCCAGAACAATACCGGCGACGGCCGCCTCGGAGGGCGCCTACGGAATTTATTAGTGATGGCCGATTCGCAAACGAATCGTTCTTTTTAACTCGGTTTTTTTAGTGAACGGGTTGAACCGATTCGTAAATCTGAACGAATCGGTTTTTAAAATTATTTTAAGACGTTTTTAAAACTGATCTTTGGCTATTCAACATCCAAAAGCATCCCATCACCACCTTTCGGCACCACCCCGTTCAGGCGTGGACCGCGCCAAACACTCACCTGTATGGCTACTGGCACCCTTAAAAGGGGCAGACACAGGGGCAGGTTCATTATTTATTTATTTATTTATTTATTTCCGAAAACTAAAGTCACGGCAGCTTGGTTACTGGGTTTGAAACGTCAGTGATTTTGCAAAGCTTTATCTTTAAAAGAAAAAAACTATTAACGTACTGTAATTTACACCATCAAACCGACAGGCAAGATGCGTACCTTCTATTCCATGTTATACACCGAAACACCAAACTCGTAAGTATGGTTGTTGTATTTGCAGGAACTCAATATATCTATTGCAATAAAGTACATACATACTAATTCATTACTTTTGTGTTCGTTAACTTTGCGTATATTAATAGATTTAAACCTAACACCAGACGTGTGCGTTTATGCAATGTTTAAAACAAACGCCTCTTTAACGTTACTATTTTGTTTTCCAGTAAGTTCTATTTCAGAGACCACATCAGCTTTGAGCAGATTCTATCTGTGAAAGAGGAGCTGAAGAAAAACAATTTACTGGAACCCGTCCTGAGTAAGAATCTGGACTTCGCGGCAAGGGCGCTAGGCAAAGTGCATCCCAGCTGTCTGTCGCGGGCATCCCTGCTGATCAGCGGCGACAGCCTCGTGGTCAAGATGTACCTGGAGCTCGTGCCCGACAGCAACATGCACTTCGCAGTGACAGTTGAGGGCGGACTGCCCGTGCTGCGTCAGCTGATCGTCTGCGGAAAGTCCATCTCCAAGGCGGACATCAAAGATGTGCACTTCTTCGGGCACCGGTGCCAGGATGAGACCGCTTCGTGTCAGCAGCAAGCCTTGAATTTGGCAGGTAACGGCTTGGAGCGCACGGAGCTGCGCATCCACTGCAACAAGCTGCATCTCACCTACACCGTGGAGGACGATGACGAGGATGGCGACAAAGAGGATTTGCGAATTATCTGCTTACAAACAAAATGTAAGCTGGGCACTGTTTGCACACTTGAGGGCTTAATGAATGTTAAGAGCTGGATAGAGCAAGAAAAACCCGAGAAGATAGGCCTTATAGCATGCATGGAGCACTTACTAAAGCAATACCGCGCTCCCCCTAGTACCCCCGTGTCATACCGGTTTGTTCTGCAGAGTGACGGTGAAACGGTGGAGATCTTTCCGACGGGTCGCACTTCTCGTTACATATTTGGCGACAAAAAATGTGTATCTATGTGCCCCGCAAACCCCAAGTAAGGAGACGTCACTGTCAGCTCTGCACCGATTTTGGGATCTAAATTGCTGGAAATCGCTGGTTCATGTTATACTACACTATATAGCAATTAATTTAAAACTAGGTTCATAGACTTACAAGAACTGATTAAAAACTATATTTTGATGTTAGCTGGCATTCTTATTTTGAAGAATTGAACGCTTAAAATCGCTTTTATGGTTTGCAAAGCGGCTTATGTTACACTACCGTTTCGTACAGCAGTACTGTAGGTAGCTGAAGGGTGTGTTCATTGAAGCGCAAATACTACCCAATTAATGTGTGATCAGTTTTTGGTACACATAAGAATGAAGATGAAGAATGTTTACAAACGGCACAGAATAAATCTTCTGTTAAACTTTTTTTGGAAATCTTTATTTTTTCCTGAATTTATTTTATATACATTTTCTTTTAAAAATGGTCAAAAGCCGTAGGATGGAGAACAAATTATTTTCCTATAACAGTGTCAAAGCCAGTGAGAGCTACCCAACATGAACTATATTTTCCTCAGAACAATTTTCCTTCTAAAAACGGCAATTTGGAAATGGAAAAAGAATGGATATTCTGCATGAGAACACCGATATATAAATAATTCGCCGTAAATATGAACTAAATTTAGCTTGCCCTTGGGTGATGCCCCCCCCAGTATTCACTCTGTCGCGTGCAGGGGCGCAGAAACGTTTCGTTGCATCCCACAGTGACAGTTTATCGTTTTGTCTGTAATCTTTCTCCATTGTCATTTGTAAATATTGTAAATGGAGTCGTTAACGTTGAGTTTTGAGTTTGATGACTTTGTTTCATTTGCAGTGACTTCAACTTCAGAGACTTTTACCTGGTTTTGTAGTTAGATCAATAACCAAGCTGTATGTATCTTCAAAACATTCAAATCGCTAGAGAAGGAGTCGTGATGGTATGACAGGATAATAGATCATTTCTCACAAAAAGAAAGGAGAGCAGAATTTACATATAAGTTACCGACTGGCTAAAATAAGAAAAAAATAAATTTTTTTGGTCATACTGCCAAATCAACCATAAGAATATCACTGTATACCCCAACTAACCATTTCTAGTCAAAAAGAGCAAAATATACGATGGAGCAAACATAAAACTTTTAAATCGTAATTAGCCAAATTTTAGAAAGAATTCAAGTCTGAAGACATCTAGATCGACTTAAGTAAAGGCAGCACTAGCCTTACATAAATTGTACTCTGCAGTTTGCGTTTTTCTTACAATTTCTTACAAGTACAATAACTGTCTTTCCACACAGCTGACATGACGGCTCTGACGCGCATGCGTCGCTGAACACCAAGCCATCATGTGATCCTCACTTCTCTTCACCGCATGTCGCACTGAGGCTACAGGCATTTCCGTGATTTTTCAGGCTAGACCTCTCTGGTGGAAAATCGGATCGTTTCCTTACTGCCCCGCCAGTATTGGCCCAATTTCTACAAAATTCACAAAGAAAAGATATTGCCAGTCTCAAGATGGTTGGCAGAAAAGGGATATTCCAGCACAACAATGATCCTAAGCAAAGAAGAATATAATTTAAACCATCAGTGGACCCAAAGCCTCCAGAACACATTCGGGGCATCCTAAAGCAAGGTTATTTTCAGGAATAAAATGCTTTTCTGGAGCTGCTGCTGTCCGGTGTAAAGCTGACTTGAAACAGGTCATGTGGGCTGACCAGCAGATCCTGCTGGGCCTCCTGCTCTGCTGCTAGAGGATCCATTTATTCAACTGGGCGATCAGACCAAAGACACTCAGGCTAAGCACCTTTCTTCAGATGTACTACTGACTAGGTTCTTCCCAGGATTAAAGCCAACAACCATTGGGCTGTGAACCACTAAGCATCTGGCTGCCAAAGGTAAGCTGTTAATTGGTAGTTATGCCCCCCTCCCCCCAAAGTCTCCCCAAAATGTCGATGCACTCACCAGCCTGCGAGGCGACTCCCAGCCTCTTCAGACGCGACGCCATCAGGAAATACAGCTAACATCTCCTGCACTGTGGTCATGCAGCCACCGCAGAACCACAGCCAAAGGCAAAGGCTGGAAAAGCTGTCTTCCACACCCACGGGTAGGTCCTGGCCCAGCAAGCAGGTCCCAGTCTGCCAGCTCATTCAAAGCTAAAGACACTGGCATACTGGTTATGGGAGCCGACAGGTTGGCTGGGAGTCTGTGGGAGGGAAGAGTACCGTGGAACCCCAAGTATAAACTGGGAAATAGGTGCAGGAACCTTGAGCAGCTCACGCAGGAGAGATGGAGGTTGAATGGCAACATTTCTTTTTGTCTGTCAGGAAAATGTAAAAACCGCAGATAGAGAAATGGCGGGGAGGTGCTGTGGACAAACAGGTATGTAGGGTAATTAGAGCGTTTGGGTAGATGGGGCGTCTCGGCCTCCTCTAGCAGGTACCAGGATAATGTTGATTTTACATGCAGATGGGGGGGTGTCACCTCCAGCCAGCCTGCTGAGGGATTTTCTGTGCCTCACACCCCTGCTCGCCTTCTGTGAAGCGGGACACCCCCCTGGGGCTGATCTTCAGCATGGATGCCCCCCCCCCCCTACACACACTGTATCTCCATTCTGCACAGCTGGACATTCAGACAGAGGTAAACGTAAACAGCTCAGCTTTCAGGGGAAGCGGGGAGAATGTCTCTGTGGAGCTTCTCGCAGATCCTCTCAGTGAGCCCGCAGAGCTTTGCCGTCTGCCGGAGGCCGGCCAGCGTGACTGGCCCTTGGCGGAGCTCATGGCACGTTTCGGTGAGTGACGGCAAAACATGCACCATCATTGTCTTCATTGAGGCACAAAAGATTGCACCTCTGTTCTGCCATATTGTCTGGTAAACATGAAGACTTTGTAGGACTATCCTAACCTTCAGTGTATACTGGCAGAGACTATTCAGACATTTTCAGACATCTTTTAGCACTTGGGGCTGGCTTCAGGGAGCATAAGTTGTTTTGACTGGCTTCAGCCAACGGACATCTCTTTCTCTCACTCTCTCTCTTTCTCTCTTCCTCCTCTCTCTATTTCCACTTTTGGTCCCTATGGAAGCTTCTTTCTTCTATGAAGACACACCAGCTTTTATATTTTGGAAAAGCCATACCTTCCCAACCCCAACAATGGACATAGTGTCTTTGGGGAAGGCCACAGACTGCCAATGTTTGTACTGGTGCGCGCGCTCATGTGTGTGTGTTTGTGTGTGTGTGTGTGTGTGTGTATTGCTGCCCGCCAGATAGGTCTGGGTAACTGAGGACATATTCTCTCAGAATCAGTCCAGAGGAAGCAAAGAGGCTTGTGGCAAGACCCGCGTCTGTTTGAGTTGGCCCGGCCCAGAGTTTTTCCTGTGGTGAACTGGCAGATTCTGAGAAATGAACCTGGAAGCTGGGCTGGCCGCTGGACAGCTTGTTTCAAGTGTTGTTCAGGGGAAAAATGGAGGGGAGGGTGGGGAAATAAATGGGAGGATTTTCGGAAGCCCTCGGAATAATTGGAACATCGTGCCCTTACCTGCTCCAACGCATCCAGCCAGCCTGGAACGTCTCCAGCTCTGGTCCTGCTGGGATGCCCAGGCAGACCTCACAGTGAGGCTACATGGAGCTCTTCCATGCACGCTAAACGTGGCAGGCGCAGACACGTCCTGTGCCACAGAAATCCAGTCTGTTGTGCCATCTCACCCCATCTCATCCCACAGAAGTGAGGTCAAATACCGCTCGATTCAGACCCGTGAGCCAAAGGTAGTGACAGATTGACTTTTTGGTGACACAATGACAGTGACAGGGATGGTCACAGCTGTTCTACTGGCATTCAGGAGGTTTGTTGAAAAAAAATGATGAGGACAACTAACCATTCTGTGACTGTTGAACCCTCAGCAGATGGACAGGAGACCTTCGCCAGTGAGATACTCAAGCCTTGGGTGGTCAGGGTAAAATGGGGTCTTTATTAAAAGCATTGGGAGTATCTTCATAGGACTGGTTATGATTTGAGATATTCTGGAGTGACGGTGCCAAACAACTATAGCCAATGCCAGGAGGCCAGAGTTGGTTGGGGGTGTTCCACAGCCAGCCAATCCAGTCCTAGTTGAAAGAGGGACAGGTGTGCCCCCCTCCCAACATCAAGCCAGATGGCTGGACACAGCTGGCCTCCCCGTGACACAGCAGTCCTTCGTGAGTCGTCCATAGAATGATGAGGGATCAGGCATCGCTCAGAAACATCTCCAGAAGTGAAAAAAGAGCACAAGCGGCCCTCATAGGCACTTCCTGTCACCACACCATGTGCAGAAGATCTCAGGACCTTGCTGGTGAACAAGAGCAGCATTACACAGAATTTTTTTGAAGACTAGAGCTGACAGGTTAATTGATAGAAAAGGGGGGGGGAGAAGCAAATTGCTGCGAGGGTGACAGCGGCATTGAAAACCACTGTAAGGTTATTCAAGAAGCGCTTGGTTTGTGTTGTGGATTCAGAACAGAGAGGGACTCCCTCAGATTGATGGGGGCAGGGGGGCAATAACATTTTCTACCCAGAAAAACTCTCTGCCAACTTATCAAGTGGTATTTAACACCCACACCACAAAACTGCTCAATTGAGCCCCTCCCAGACATCACAGTGTGTCTAGTGTGCTCACCCTCAAGACAGATCTCTCAGTTTGGGGGGGGGGCACTTTTCTCAGAAGTGCCATGCCTCACGTGGGCTTCAGCATCAAAGGGTCCTGAAGCCTCCCAAAAACAAACAAGGGTGGGCAGAAAAGAGTGGGGGGGGG